AAAAAAAAAAAAAAAAAGAAAAAGAAAAAGAAAAAACAGGTTTTTCTTTCTCTTACAAGATACAACTTGGGGGTTTATGGAACAATGGGCCGGAATTCTTTTTTCCGACTTCGTTGTCGCGTGGATTTTCTCCTTGCCTTTTTTTTTTTTTTCGATTTATTCAATTTTTCTCGCCGCGCTGGAAGATCTCAACATTTCTATTCAACTATTAGGCCTATGACGATGATGTTGGCTCAATGTTCTCTCGTAGAATGCCGAAATTACCCTAGGCTTGAGCTCTCATTCCTCTTTCATAGTCTGCAGACTGATCGGGCCTCGAATATTAAGTCACTCGAGTAGCTAACAGTATTACTTGACAGATGGCTGGCAACCCCAGGGTAACAGCGAATGGTGCTTACACGGGATAACCTTGTTAGACATAAGTGTTGTACAATTTATAGTCTCGCCTAGATGATCTCCTTCTATTGGCACGATCTGACGGGCTAATATGGTTTCTAGATTCCCCGTCATGCCATACTTCTGCTTTACCCTAGTAAACAAATCCACGAAAAGGTTAATGTGGAAAATATAATTTTACAGAGACTTGACCGTTCTTGATTTCATAAATTATTCGACCTATTATTGTAAAAACGTGGAATTAGCTCGTCTTCTAGAGGAATTGTAAGCATGTTTTGAGCCACTTTTATACATCGGCCTAGGCCTGAATCTAGCCCTTTTACGAAAAAGGAAAACATGGCCAGTGGGTCACTCCACGCCAGTATTTTTTGGCCTTACATTTTCTCTGGAGGAAATTTCCTAGCGCTACAGTGCAAAATGCGCCAATAAGAATAATGCAACATCATATTTTAAGAAAAGAATGACAAAATATTTACATCCAGATAACCATACAGTTAACGGACCAAGTTGACATGGCATGCAGAGTGTGGGTAGTCCAGTGGTGGGGTTTAGTTCTAGGCTTTGCACGATATCCACAGCCTCGAACGACTACCGAAATAGTATATGATATAAACTCGATGTAATGGCAGAACAATTATACTAAATTTACTCCGTACATCATCCGATCATGGCCAATGGGATTGATATTCTGGAAGTCATTCTAGATTCATTCTAGATCTCCAACTGCGCTGACCTCCTCTGAGATAATGTACCTATTCGCCACTGCACGTAAAGGGAGACTGTGCCTCGTTACGCAAATCGTGTCCATGCGGGTGAGCTTAACGGTAATCTAAATTTAGACTGCATGGAAGTAAAAGCCCCTAAAATTAAATATACAAAATATGGTACACGGGACTACTCAAGGGCAATAGCGTAGTTTCATTTTTGCCCGATTTTAGAAGGCCATTATAACATACACCAACTTCATACTATGTGGAGGAAGTTGTCTAACTACTCCATTCTGCTAGTATCTGCGGTCCTAGCATGCGAAGATTTTGCTCAAACATGTGGGTAATGTGTTGCAAGAACAGAGCCCATCGCAGCATTGAGCAGCCGACTCAGCAAAATATCATAAAAATCGGGCAATTCAATGCTGTTCACAAAATTAATGGCAGCGTTGTCCGAAAGATTCCACTAGATAAGTCAGACGCCTACAACACCCGCGCGGTCGAGATCGAAGCTCAAGTTTATCGTCACCTGGGAAGACACAAACGCATCGCACGATGCCCACAGTGCAGGGAGGGTTGCATTGATCTACAACACGAGGCGAATGGTGACCTCGACTCATATCTGAGGAACCATTGTCGGAGTGATCGCTTCAGGCATCGGATGGCTCGGCAGACGATTGAAGCTGTCAGCATCATCCATAATAAAGGTGTTATTCCCTCCGATCTCTCCGCTCAACAGTTTCTCGTTGATAAATGAGGCAACGCTAGATTATCCGACTTTGGATCATCGTTGCAAGGATCTGATGCTATCATTATGGAGAACGCGACACATTTCCTGCCTAGGGATGAAGAGACTCCAAACACTTTGCAGAGTGATACTTTTGCCCTTGGATCAACTGTCTACGAGATACTGGTGGGCAACAGGCCCTACGAGGGATTAGAAAACGAAAGGATTCAACGATTATATTCAAACAAAACGTTTCCTTCAGTAGACCAGATAAGACATGTTTCATGGCGGACCTTGATTCTCAAATGCTGGATGAGCGAGTATAAAGTCACATCAGATATTCAGAAAGATATCCCATTCCCTCCTCTAATCTCGCACATCTTCTCCTGGCGTAGGCCATTCCAATGAACCCGTCAGTTTGAAGACCACAACTCTCATTCGTGAGAAAGCTCCCCAGTGAAAATGGTATGGGCGAAGACGGCAAGCATCTGATAGGGGTTATACAAAATGCGGCAGATTAATGGGTTCCCTGGCAATACGAATGGCTTTAGAGGTGCTTGAACCCGAATGGTGAGGTATATATCACACGTACCTGTGTTTCGGACATTTTCCTTTTACTCTGTTAGACCCACTGTGCCGCACTTCATATTTGGGACAGGCATTCCTGGGACCTGTGGCTGGTTTCTCAGGGCACTCGGGACCGGGAATCAACTCTGCCTTGTTACATTCTGAGTTTCTGCAGCCCTGGCTATGTATCGTGATTGCTTGATAATCCACACACATGTCTTCGTTTAGTATGAAAGTCAGAATGGCACTTTGCGAAGTTATCAATCGCATTTGATCGAAAGTGTGACTAGGTTGAGTTTACCCTGAGTTACTAGCACTGTGTCCGAAGGCTGTCTTTAATTATCTCAAGTACTATGCCAGAGCTTCTGCGCTCGGACACCGCATCGTTACACACCCCAACTTGTTGTACCCATAGAAGAGACGTTATCCAGGGGTCTAGGTCACCCTGCCCTAGTACTGTCGCACAGTCTGCTTCTAGGTAAGACTTAACCGCCATATACAGCTAGATTTACGTATGAGGCAATGCTCGTCGAAGTTTCTTGTGGTCCTATTCGCCTATCACCTGATGACGCCACGGGAGAGAAGGCCACCAAGTTGATTGATTGATTGATTGATTATTGCATTATACCCGCATTCAGCCGCCTTTTAGAGCTCTCCCCAGGTCGCCGACGGCCGATAGGCCGTGACCACGGATTCTATGTACTGGACACGTTTCTCAATCCCTAGATAATCCCTCAGAAATGCATAAGAGCCTTCACCAGTTGTAGTTGTCTATCTGTCTCCATCATGCCCCTAGCTCGCATCGACAATTTTCGTCATGGTTGTGGAGTTGTCTAAAAGTGGTGGGAATGTAGGTGAGGGTTGAAATATCGGCGATTTGACACTGCTGCTCGGCCAAAAAAGAAGTTTCAAATCAACTCAAACGCCTTGTTGGCGCTGCTGGGAATCGAACCCAGGTCTGTTCGGGATTAAACCACAACGAACTGTACTGACCACTATACTACAGCACCTTGATTTGTTGAAGGCCACTAGCGAAATAGTCTCCCGTTTGTGAACAAAGGATATATGCGTTTCAAACGTTCTACTACCATTGACCGCCTCTCGTATACACCTCCATTGGCAGTGCCCGTATTGAACTCGTCGAGGGTTCAGATGAATTCAACCAATGTTTAGGAAGTGATTAGGTAGTGATACGGTCGCGTGATAAAGCTGGCCCTCGTGGACTATGTGACCCCCTCTATACACATATTATGCCGTCTCTTTGGGTCATATTTACTTAGCCTTGGTTTGAATTTTTGGGAGGCTTAACAATCCACTATCAGCCCTACTGCCAACCACCATTTTCTACTGCAATGCGGTTTATATATAGAGGACCCTAATACTCTTCAACGTAACTTAGCCACAATCCTCACCCCCCTCGACCCATGCTTCGGCATCGTAACATGATAGTCATGCTCAAAAGAAACATCCCTCTCACCCGTCTCCCACAACTCTAAATCAAACATCCGCACCAGCGCAGCAGTCACAAGATACAGTTCTGCCCTCGCAAGCTCAATCCCCAAAACACTTCCTTCCGCCCCTTGAGAACGCCAACTGAAACTTCCTCCGCTCGCGACCCTCATCTCCCAACCAGCGCCCGGGATTAAACACATACGGGTCTGGGAAAACCGATTCGGCAGTGTGTGCGCTTAACATCGTAATACTGACTGGGGTGCCAGGAGGGAGGATATGAGATCTGTGCGTGGGGCCTTGGGTAGTCACATATGCGGATGGAGTATAGGTGATAGGCTGGTGCTGGATCCGAGCTGCGCGAGCGGTCACGCCGAAGGAGAGTCGGTTACCTTCTTCGATGAGGGTGGAGAGGTACGGGAGCTTCTCTAGTTGTGCCCAGGTTGAGGGGGAAGGCAGGGTGTCTAGTTCGTTGCGAAGTTTGGTGAGCAGAGAGGGGTTGGCGAGGAGATGGTAGAAGATAATATTTAGGGTTTGGGCGGGGGACTCTGTTCCTGCGAGGGTAAGTAATGCGCCTTCTTGTTCGAGGCGTTGGAGGGCTTTTTCAGATGCGGGGAGGTTTGGGTTGTCGAGGACAGATTCGTAGACGGATTCTTTGGCTCCTGGATTAGCAGGCTTTTTCTAGCTTGGAGAGCTAGGTTCTTTTGCTGTCATGATTGTGATCAATTCCGCACGGACTCTCTGGTTTTGTTGTTATTAGTGGTGTAAATTGACTGGTGGGGAGGGTGGAGAACTTACATCAAAGAGTTCGAGCATGTCAATTAGCCCCGGAGGCATGACCGGCCTGGTTAGAGATTGGGGTAGTGCTTCGAGAATATCATGAATCCATGGGAAGTGCTTGTTCATGTTAATTCCCTTGAGCAGCTCATGACTGTTGTGGCGGAGTCTGGCCGCCTCCTGTTCATCCGCGAGTACGTCGGTTTCGTGGGCAAATAAAAAGTTGTTGACAACACTACACTCGGTAATTAGTACCTATGACTACTATATTCAGTTCACTGAGGTCCATACTCATTGGAAAAGCCATAGAACGCATCCGATAAATTGATAGGAGTTTCTGTCGTCGCATGTTTGGCGATCAGGTCGCACAATTGCTTCACCTTTTCGGTGATCACGCCGTCGAGCAAGAGGACATTGCGCTTATTGAAGAAGGGAGTGAGCGCTTCCCGACGGATTTTGTGAAGGTAATAATCGGCAGTGGCCCCGACGCCGCCGGGAACACGTAAGGTGCGCAGTTGGTAGTCATACTTGTCGAGGCGGGTCATGGACGGGGCGTAGATCGTGTCGAGGTAACCGACGTCGTTCATGTGGATCTCATCCGGGGTTACGCGGATGATGGGCCCTGATATTGCGTCCAATCAGTACCAACTGTGGCTTGAACGCCAGATTGAAAGAAGAAACCATACCGTATTGCTTGTGAAGTTCTTGGATCTTAAACACGTATTGTCCGGGCCGGATGGCGTCTTAGTAAAACTCATACCACCAAGTGAGTGCAGCCAGTCGCGGGCCTGGAATATGGGATAAGGAATGGAAAAAGAGACGACGGATTGCTCCAACGGCGATCCATAGCGCCAGAAGGATGAAGCTTGTTTCGATCGCCTGACGCAGAGTCATGGCTGTTGCTCGGGGCAAGGCAATTAGTAGAATACGGCTGCTGATATTATGACTCTAAACTCTGAATGACGGCGCCCGTGGGTAGTAGTAGTCAATGAATACCGCTTGAAGGGACATTGTTAGAAGATAAGTGCCACGAAGCTCGATGCCAAGACAGACAGACAAAGAGAAGCATTCAAACTAAACTAGTAGGACACTAGCTATAGTCTGTGCCATTAATACAAGTCCTAAGAGTGGTCAATCACCTCACCTGTAGCTGGAGAGTGAGACCAACACGTAAACAGATATTAGATGCAACGTGGTAAGCCCTAATGCACGGCCCGAAATGAAACTAAAGTACCTGCTTAATCCCACGGCTCACAGCCTCTACCGCCACACCCACCTCTAGTAGGTCTCAACTTGGCAGTTCCTTTCTTTTTACTCGTGATGGGTGTCGCCGCAGGACTCCTTTGCTGCACAACCACCCTCATCTTCTTGAGGGGAGCCATAATCGGCTCCCCAACGACCACTTTATTCGCTTTGATTCTATAAGTACCCCCCGACCGCCATGTGTTCCCATTGCATCTTTTCTCCCGCCTCTCAGCGACTTGCACATCGACCTAAACTTACTATATATATTCTTACCTGTTCCTGTAGAGTCGGGGAAGCTTAACTTTAGTTATCTTGATTTTCCTTTTTCTATTTATACTTTTATCTTAAACGTTTTCGCCTGCTATGAGGAACTCCGTCCGGCTGATCGGCTCTGATAACAACAGCGATAGACAACCAAGCTCACCGTTATACAACCCATGTTGTTATATTACGATTACGACAGTAAAGACTAGTGTTTATTTTCTCAAATCTAGTGGCACCACTACCTCGCGCTGGTATAACAAGTGGTAAGGCGGTAAATGACCTGTATACGGCGTGAATGTGGTGTTATTCGATACAACGGTATGCCCTTGTCTATCGCATTCTGGTTTAGCATTTCGGCTATTATTGTCTGACCCTAGATTTACACCCCCGGCAAACCACTCAGCCCTTTCAATCTCTTCTCTCGTCCAGCACCACTTTCTTTAGAGGTCCTGGTCCAGGGACAATGTATAACGTCCTTTGGCCACCACTCCCCCCAGCTCGTCAGAAAGATTTGTTCCGGATCAGACAGGAGATCGTTCGCCGCAAATGCCTGAAGTAGGTTCCGGGCTCCTGTTGTACATTGCACGTTATGTCGGAGTTTACTCAACTAAGGCTCTCTGCGAGAAACTTACCTTCCGGGATACTTTTTGTATCGGGTATATCCATCAACAACCCCATACTGGAAGCTAATTTGGTGTTCGAGATCAAACCCGGTTAGACAGCGATGATGGTGCATAAGGGCAATTGGCGGCGCCAGTAAAATGCGCCGAGTAATTGTACGAACTTGGAGGCACTTTACACAGCTCTGACCCCCGCCTTAGAGTTGGCTTTCAGGTCCATGTCCAGAGTTGCTAACCGAATCGGTCTCAGGATCTCAGATCTGGACGGCAATACCATGGATAGGGAGAATGGGTTCACCTGGATCCTGTCCTCTCACGTTACGGATGGCGCCCGAAGAAACAACAACAACTCGCGACTGCGATGCCGAGAGGCTGTCACGCAGCAGATATATCAAGTAATGTTGGGCTATTTCGTGGCATAGTTAGCCATGTGGATCCCTGTCGGTTGGAGTTCATCTCCCGCGTACCTAGGTGATTCACGACCAACCCGGCGCACCACGGCGACCCATTAGGGCCCGGGCCATCTGCGCTGTCCAGTGTGCTTGCACAAAGGATGAGATAATTGAGCTTGTGAGGACCCAACCGAGAACGGACATTTTCGGCTAATGACTGCATGCTGGGCAGGGATGAGAGATCCAGCGGGAGCACAGTCACTGTATAGACATTCCTATCCCAATCCAGACAATCATAGCTAGTTTGGGTTGTTATGGTATCCCCTACCCCCAGAATAAAATGGTACGGTTCAGGCCGGTAGAGCAACTGTTAGATAGCTTCCAAACCCTGGGGGACGTCAGACGAACCACTGAGGAACGGTGGGAAAGGTGCCAAGTTACCAAGCCCGATAAGGTGCCGGTGGCAACCACTGTTTTAACCATTGTTGTGAAGAGAATCCACGCGTTCTGGCGTTCTTCTGGCGGGGAAGAGGAATGGGAATGTTATGATCTTGTCTCGACAGTTTTGACACCTCCGAAGGACTTAACAGGCCTGGTGACGTCATGGCAGAGATGCACCTGACCGCACCTGACCTCGCGTGTGACCGCCTTCCTTCTGGCTCTCCCCAGCCCCACACACAGCATGGTAATGATGCATCAGTCGTCGCGTATGCACATGACCTGGCACGCGGAGAACGCGTCAATCACGGAATATTACGGCGATGCCGGACTTTCAGATCTTCCGGATTGCGCTCGCATATCGTGTAGAGAGAATTATAGCAGTGTTGGTTCCCCTCGGACCATCCTGCGTCAGCGCTTAATTTAGGATAACTTTTAGTGCACCCTCCCTGGTGTGTGGTGGCGTTTCCAACTTCTTCATTGGCAACCACGTTCCCCCTCCCCCAGTGTTTACTCCCCCGGCCTGTTCCCCATCAAAGTTTCCCCGGCGTGTGTCGGGTACGCGGAACCAGCCAAAGGCGGGGGAATCGGTCCTGCATGATGTTGGCCCTTCCTGCGTGCACCCCAACTCCTTCGCCCGGCTTAGACGCCTTGTATGTCCTTCATTCCCCGACTGCCCTCGCAGTCGGCCCCGCTGCAACATGGGTCCACAACCGGACTCTAACGAGCTCCCGCAGAGCACCGGGCAGGCCAACTTGTCGTGCCAAGAGTGTCGGAGGCGTAAAATCAAATGCGACCGCCAGTTGCCAACCTGTGTCGCCTGTACAAGCTATACAATCCCCTGTGTATATCCGGCGGGCCCGTTGAAGCCGGGCCCCAAGCCAGGCGCCTTTCGTCGATCGAAGAAACGAAGACTGGAGGCGAGTCATCCACCAACCACGACGGACATGAGATTCCGCACCACACTGCCCCAGCAGGATCAGACCCCAGATCTGGGACCATCGTTAGCGACCTCTCTCCCCGGCAAGCTCGCCAGCCTGGATGGCAATGTCCCGTCGACGCCAGGCGGCGCCATGCGTGCCTCCGACGAACCGAGTGGCCCGTCCATTGCCAGTCAAAGTCCAGAGCAGAGCTCCTTTCTCACCCACCGACGACTGTCCTGGCTGGTGCATCCAAATCATGAACCAACACTCAATCTGTCAGACCGTGCGGAAGAGTCGACGGGGGAGCCCTCGATGGACCAAGTCTCGCCTTTTTCCATCCCAGTGAGCCTCATGGATCAGATATGTCACACTCTCCAGACAGATGAGCGCGACATTCATCACCTGTATGCATCTGTCCCCATTCCATGTGAATCGATCATCCGGTGGGAACGTGACTAATCATCTTTTACAACCCCTTAGCATCGCGCTGTATTTTGAAAACATGCTGTCCTTTACCCTGTTCACCCCCCACCTGCTGGGGCTGAAATTGCAAACGGGATCACCATCGCAGGTTATTGCGTTACTGGCAGCTATGTTCTCCTTTTCCGCTCGCTTTCGATGGGAATGCCCTAGGGTCAATGGAGAGGCGGGGGCCGCTGAGCAGCAGACAACATGGCCTGCGGCAAAGGACTTTTACCTCATTGCTAAGAGGTCCGTGGACCGGGAACTCATGGACCTCCGATCTCCCCCTCCATTACTGGTGGTGCAATCCATGCTCTTGTTGACGTTCTATGATCTCGTCGAGAGTGCCGAAGGGAGAGGTTGGAGATCCGTCGGTTCACTGGTCCGCATCGCCTACGAGCTCCGGCTGCATCTGGTGGATGGGAATGCCAGCGACCCAGCAAATGATCATCCCGATCTGTGGCATGCAAAAGAGGAACGACGTCGAACCTGGTGGGCGATATGGGAGCTGGATGCTTTCTCTAGTACTGTCCGTCGACTCCCCTCTGCCATTGACTGGAATCAAAACTGGACCTGGCTCCCCGTGGATGATGAATCCTGGCTGCAAAAAACACCCAGACCGAGCTGCTACTTAGTGGCCGATCCCATGGAAAGGTTCAAAGCACTTCAGCGGTGTAATAACCAATCCGCAAAGGCTTGGTTTATCGTCGCCAATTCGTTGATGCGAACGGCCTATTGTATTGCGAACTCTCAGGAATACTTCTGGACTCCTCCTTCTTTCCATCCTCCGCATCCCGGCCGACCGCCGCTACCCCAGCAAGAAATGTCGGCGCAGATCAGGAAAGCTCAACAGATTTTAAGTAACTCCTTGTATTGCTTCTCGGTAGCCCTGCCGCGACATTTGAGATATCGGGGCCAGCATCTCTTCAGCAATGTCGTCTCGGCACCGCAAAGTACTAGGAAATGTGATTCAGATATTTACAGCATCCATACGATGGTCAAGCTTACGGACTTTATGCTTAGCGATTCCAATGGGTTGGGAACGGCGTCCCGACCAGCTGAGCCAGGGGCATCATTCCCCACCCAATCCGAATCTTTGCTCAATCCCGAAGACCAACAAGCCCGTGAGCTGGAACAGATCTTGGCCAGAAATATCTCCATGGCGGAGGCGGTATTGTCGCTGGTCCGTAGCAGCGGCCCCGACCATGTTCACCTCGTGAACCCATTCCTGGCCAGTACCATTTGGCTTGCCGCGGCGGTATTTCTTGCTTACAGGTATCTGGGGATTCCAACGAAGAGTTCCCAGGAACGACTTCTCGTGGAATCCAAGATAGATCTCTTAAAAACAATTTTTCGCCAATTTGTTCAGTGGTGGGGTATGTCGGATATTCTGGAAAGCAAACTGTCTGAACTGGAGACGGAGCTGCTATGTATGCGGAAGATCGGAAGGGCCGCCATAGAGGACTTGCAACAACATGCTGCAGGTAAAGCAGGCCAAGTACACGGCTTGCCGTCGATTGATACGCATCCAGATACTCTTCCTTCGCCCGAGAATAGCGATGAACCCGCAATCCCGTATGGAATGTCGTTGCATGCTACGAGCCAAATGGCCAACACCGGAAACCCCCCTGGCAACGCGGATGCTTTGGACGGCAACCCAATTCTCAGCCTTATGCAGGACCGGGGATCGTCCTTCTCAACATATGACACGGGCTCAGGTCTCTTCGACGGTGATTTCTTCTACAACCTCGAGTTTCAAGGATTTTTGGACGGCATGTTTGCTACATTCCAAGGGCAGGACGTATGGAAATAGTGCTCTGATACGATGTCATGACAATTGCAGCCACACGTATACATACATAGCACATCTAATTCGATGCAGGAAGCCATTTAGGCATTCCAGATCATACACAAATTCACTCGCAGACATCAACGTCGTACAAAGTAGTTGGATGTGGTACGATGACATGCTCACGAGATGAATGCTTCGGATCGTGCCAACACATTTAGCCATGGAAAAACAATTTTCTCAGATTGCAGGAACAGTGGGAATCGTCAATTGACTTGCATAAGACCCTCCAACATGGACCGTATGTTTACCTTGGTTGAAATTCCTCATACCTCCACGTAGGTTGGGGAACTCGGCCAGGGTCATGTTGTGTCCTGCTATCTTCAGGATCAGCTTCTCACCAGCTTCAAAGTAAATACCCGTCTGCCAGAGGCCGATATCTAATTCGACAATTTCGCCCGGGATAATCGGCTTCTTGGAAGAGTAATCATGTTCCGGCCACCACTGATGGCTTAGCCTCTGGTCTAGGGCGCGGTGACTCGCCCGTAGACAGCCAGTTGGACCAAGATATACTAGTGGATTAACCAAGTCGACGGGCTCAGGCATTTTGCAGATCTTCCGGGCGTCGTCGGGGATATTGATGTTCTGTAAAACCTTGCCGGTAGAATCTGCCTTGCGAATCTGCACAAAGACATCCATGTCTGTTCCCTGTTCGCATGACACATATAGAAGGGCCCGCGCGGAACCTATTAGCGCGCATGGTTTCAGGAAAGTATGCACGAAGCAGAGTTCCTCTGAGTCTGCGTCTTCCTGCCGAAAAGGGACATCGGACATGTACGACAGTGTCGCAGTAGACGCGGCGGGCTCCTCAGATAAGACATTATCGTTGTGGAGGAAGAAGGTCTGAGCCTGAGTTCTCGGAATGGGCCAGTCAGGGAATGGCAAATTGGTCAAAGGTTCCTGGGAAGAATCAGTATTCCTCTAGACCCCATAGTAGTCTGCTAGATGCTGGCTAGGGTTTTCTTACCTTGTTATATCGCAGTAGAGACACCCTTGCCTTGGGCGTATCCTCCCATCCATTGCTAATGTCTTTCGTGTAAAAGTCAAAAAACTTCTGCAGCTCATCATTTGTTGACTTTTGATAGAGATCATGCCACTCCTGGGTCGGATGCACTCGTAACCTGTTCGAACACTCGTGTCAGTCACCACTGTGAATAGTACTATAAGTTAACCGGTACCATTTCTTGGGATGTTTGATTTCCATGAACCCGCGGAATGATCCAAAGGTATGCAGGAAGGTCGAATAGCTCGCAAGAACGTAAGCAGGAACTGTAATCTTGCTCATCTGCGCTCTTTTATTCTCCCAGTACTCGTTCATCAGAGGATACCTCTCCAGCATTCCAATGACATCTTCCTGATGATTTCTGCCTATCGGAGATTTCAGTTAGGTCTAGTTCCCACAGATCTGATGACAGTACTCACCTCTCAGCAACCCAGACAGGAAGTCCCAAAATGGGACCTGTGGTATCCCACCTCGACAGAGAATATCACGATACAGATCTGCTGCGCCTTCAAGGGGAGCAATGCAGCTGAGATGGGGCGGCTGTGTAGCAGCAATGAACCACTGCACGATGCCTAACCACGAATTCCCGACCAGCGCTACCTTACCATTACACCAGGACAAGCGTGCCAGGTACTCGATCGTATCATAGCCATCATTGGCTTCAACATCGCCGAAGTGGCTGGTTTACATGGTTAAGCCAGTTGACCGGATGGACAGTCTTAAGCACTTACTGAATATCACCCTCAGAATCATAGGTGCCCCGAGGATCGGGGTTAATAATGGCGTATCCTCTCGCGGTCCATTCGGCGGGATCAGGAGCCTCGAACTTCTCGAATCCAGACAACCGATTGCGAGGAACACCCATGCGACCCGGAATCATATCCAGCGGGTTGAAGCCTATGCCATCCCATATGAACTCAGCCATAAAAGGTAGGATGGCCTACTACTATCGAGGGGAGAACGTACCTCCAGTGTGGCATGCAGATTTCCCATACGGACTCCAGGCCAGTAATGCAGGGACCTTGCCTCCAGTGGTCTTATTCGGTCGGAAAATGTCGATAAAAATTTGGCAGCCGTCTCTCATCGTTACAGGAACATTTTTCTCCCACACAGTTTCCACCTGAAAGGGTGCATGAGCATCCGTCAACCGCCACCCTTCTGCCAAAATCTTGGTTTCTCGCCGCGGCTTTTCATAGCCCTCATCACCTTTCTCCGGGGCTAGGGTCGGGCGCCAGAGGGGAGTCACCATTTCAACTACCATGATGATCTGTGGGATAATGTTGGCTTTGAAAGCTAGCATTTACAGAGGCTCTGGGCCTAAATAAATGGCCTCAAAAAGCCGTGGTTGGCCTCGGGGGAACTAGATGGAGATTGTCCGTATTCCCGGGGTTCGGGCCAATTCTTATTTGCCGCGGAGCGACCTGGTCCAAATTATCCAACAAACTGCTCAATGCATCTCTCACCTCCGGTCGAGTTTCAGTCTGATGTCAATTGCTGTAAAATAGTGATCGCGATACAGTATATCTGCCCGTCCAGGAAAGAACCATTCCGTACCAGGGCCTAGCACTTGTCACGCAGCTCACAAGCTGTGAAACAAGTTTCCCCCTTTCCCAATCTCCATCAATACAATACTACTTCTCGGGTAAAGCTCTCCCCAGTCCTCTGCTCCACTAGAGCCGAGCAGAACAATGAAGAAATTTCAACCCAAGTTCCGCAGATCAAGGCCACGAGCATCTCAGGTGTGCTCTCTGTGTCGCAGAAAAAAGGTCCGATGTGATATGGTTGTGCATGGCACACCATGCACAACATGCAAGTTTAATCGTGTTACTTGTATAGCGGTTGACGCTCCGATATCAAGGTTGGTACTTCTTTATGGATGGGGAAACTACTGACAAGAGAGGCGGAGTGGTTATGATTGCGATCATTAACATCTACAGAGCCTCTCACACTCCAAGCTGCGACCACCGTGCCTGTGATGAGAAGCCTCCGGCAACACCCTTGGTAGAAGGTTGCCCGAAATGTGAAACCCCCCTTAAGTTACAGCGTCTGGGACCTTCACCCCTCCCTGAGCAGGTTAATGATCTGTGTGCAATGTTAACGTATCCATCGTCTCTATGTTCGACTCCTTTCCCATCATTTTTTAGCACAGATCTACAAATTATACTAAGAGTACTGACGGAGCAATCTTCCAGGCCTACAACCTGCAAAGGGACCCATACGAACCAGCCCTCAAGAGTTGACGGCCCTGCCATTGCTCGTCGATGGTAGGCAGCCTTGGCAGACCCCCTCGCGAACCTTACCTGGAACGACGAGCTCCAGCCAAGCCCAGCTTCCCCCGTTCATACGGCCACTAGAACCATTTGTTGACAGCACGGATATTGACTACCTGGTGCAAAAAGGGGCGCTTGATTTGCCGAGTGAGGAGTTGCAACGCGCCCTTCTCAAGGCCTACTTGAATTGCGTTCACCCGTTCCTGCCAATGCTAGACATTCATGAATTTCTAGAGACCGTGTGCTGTAGGAGAAAAACAAACCAGATCAGCCTTTTACTTTATCAAGCTGTGATGTTCAGCGCCTCCGCCCATGTTGCTATTGAGCACCTTCAAATGGCTGGATACATGGGTCGGAAAGCGGCACAAAAATGCCTTTTCCAGAAGGCAAGACTGCTGCACGATGTGGTCCGCGAGCCAGATAAAATATCTCTCACTCAGGCACTGCTCTTGATGAGCCATGTAGACGAAACGGTGGACCTAAAAAATGACTGGCATTGGTTGGGGGTTTGCCATTCATTAGCGCTGGCCTTGAACCTTCATCACGACCCCCAGGACTGGTGCTCAAACATCAAACGCCGGCGACTGTACAAGCGCCTATGGTGGAGTATATATGTGCGTGATCGTCTCATCGCGGTCGAGCTCAAGCACCCCATGCGAATCCAGGACTCCCAACACAATGTTCCCTGGCTCATGGCGGATGACTTCACTGTTAAATCATTCTCGAGAAATGTGGTTGAGATCCTGGACGGCTCTGAGATCCTTCATAATACCACTCAGCAGAAGGACCTTGTCATGATGTTTATCGAGACCATCAAATTGAGCGTCTGCTTTGGGCATGTCCTATCCACCCAGTATGCTATGTCTACCAATCCCTGTTGGCAAGCTAACTCTGCCATCACACTGGCTCCAAAGAAATCTACCACTGAGCCCTCTACCACCCAGCAGTGTGACTGGGAACTCGAGGACTGGGTGCGCCAGCTGCCCTCTCAGATACGACATCGCCGTGAGCCTGCTGGCGTCCGTTTTGTCCCGAATATCCTGCACCTCCACCGCGCCCTTCTTTGGTTGTATTATCTGGGCGCGGTGAGTATACTGCATCGGCCACATGTGGTGCCTTCCCGTCCTTGTTCACAAAGTTGCAAAGAGCTTTCGCACCACTCTCAAGATCGGCTACGATCTTCGGCTATCGATATAACAATGACGTTTCAATATCTCCTGCGACTGGACCTAACTCAGTGTATCCCCTTCAGTGGCGTGAATCTACTCTTTGCCGGGACGATCAGTCATCTGTTCGATATCACGTCCCATGATCGCAGTCTTTCAGCACTAGGTCGAACCCACTTCGAGGTCTCAATCCGTATCCTCCAAAAGCTGGAGTGCACATATGATTCGGCGAGCCTTGCAGTCTCATTCCTTCGGGTGCTCGCTCGCTTAGTCACTGCATCCCGCCGCATTGAGGCGTCTCGTTCACATCTAACCTCCTGCCATACCGTCTATTCAAATACACCACGGTATATATCTGGCACACACCCCGTCCGTTCACTCTGGCACCATCCAAATAGCTACGATAAGACGGCTACCACCAGCCACAATAAGGCTGAGAGTGACGGCTTCCCCACTATCGATCCGGCCGTTCTCCTTCTTCGACCGTAAAATTCTGATGTAAGTGATGTTCCTTGTCCGACGTATACCCCGTGCTCAATTCTGTGGAAAGAAGCCGACCAAGATTCTTCTCGGCGAACTCCGTATCTATCACTGCATAGTATTATTGCACGCCGTTGAATAGCCCTCGATTGTAAATAAATTTAAGCTCGCCCTTTTCCCGAGCTGTTTTTAGCCCTCGAGTTCTTAGCAATATCGATCGTACACTTCAGCCTCAATAATAGCAATTTTTGTATAATACCAACAAAATTTTGGCTCTCGATGTCTTTAAACCCGTAAGAGATTAGGGAGATTAGGTCTTGCCTATACATAATCACGTGTTCGCCTCATGTACACACCAACGCAAAGGGTATGTATTCCCACTGACGGGCCCCTTCAGAGAAGACTAGAACTAATCCATTTCCTTCCGGTTGCTGGGTCAGAATGATTTACAATGTGAGGGAGAGAATTTGATAGGGCCGCAATCTACACTGAGTGATCGACCTCGTGAAGCTCGGGGAAGCGGTACATTCGGGTCAATTCAGATTGGCCGCAACCATTCCCCATGCAGCCAAGCTGACCACGGTGAGATTCTCATTGGGCCGGGAGAACTTCGTCAACTTGGGAATGTGGGGGAAAAAAAAAAGGCTATTTCGCTGGATGGGGAAGCTTCTCACCCCCGGACCCATTCACCTTAAACCATTTAGGGTCTAAACCGAACTATGGGGAAAGGTAGGATAGAGCGCGTGGAGAGTTGGCCCGAGTGCGTGCGGGAGCCGTTTATAAACGGCCTTTGGGGTACCTTCGTATGCTTTTGGTCATTCCCAACACAAATTCACCATGATCAATGCAGCTTGGATTGCTCTTGGCTTCTTAGCCATCGTTCTGTTGGCCAGGGGCCTCAAGGCCAGTCAGAGAGATGCGAAAATGCCCCCCGGTCCCCCGGGGCTTCCGCTGCTTGGTACGGCCCGAGCAACCACGGCACCCCAGCCCCCCACTGACGGAAATAGGGAACTTGCATGAACTGCCCTGGTCTAAATCATATCTGAAGTGAGCAGCAGTCCGTTTACGCCGCGAGGATCCAAAACTAATGAACTGGAAAAGAATGCTGGAGTGGAGCCGGAAATACGGAGACATCTACTCGCTCAAGCTGGGATCCACGAACGTGATTGTCCTGAGCAGTGCAGATGTCGTCACTGAGTGAGTACAGTGAGCTTCTCGAAAGGATCAGCCACTAACGCACACCTACCAGGCTGTTCGATAAGCGGGGAGCAATCTATTCCAACCGACCGGACAGCTATATTGCTAACGAGCTACTGTGCCCGAATGAAACCCATCTCTTGCTGATGAGCTACGGCCCAGCCTGGCGCCATCTCCGCAAAACCTTCATGTCGGTCTTGAACATTTCTACCGTCCAGACGCTGCGCACCTTGCAGGGTATTGAGGCGTCGCAGACGATGAAGGACCTATGCGATACCCCCGAACGCTTCTCTCAGCATATCCGTCGATATGCGACGGGGGTAATTCTGTCCTCTGTATTCGGCACCCGTGCTGAAAGCTTTGACGATCCGAATGTCAAGGAGATTTATCGCGTCCAAGATCAGTTCTCTGAGATTTTAGAGCCCGGCAATACACCGCCGGTCGATGCCTTCCCCTGGCTCCAGTATCTGCCGTCGGGCCTGGCGAGCTGGAAGCAGCGGGCCGCAGAAGTGTATAAAGGCCAGCATGATCTTTATCACGGGCTGCTCAACGGGACCAAGCGCCGAATTGCGAACGCGGGCTACGTCAACTGTTTCATGGACCGATTACTGTCGGATGAAGAAAAGGCGAAACACAATCTGGACGACGAGCACTTGGCCTTTTTGGGTGGCGTCATGATGGAGGCAGGCTCCGATAGCACGAGCTCCACGCTACTCTCCTTTATTCTCGCTATGGTGAAATACCCGCATGTATTGAAGAAGCTCCAGGCTGAAATTGATGCGGTCTGTGGTGACGAGCGAAGCCCAACCTTCGAGGATATGCCCAGCTTGCCTTACGTGCAGGCATGCGTCCTTGAGGTATGTTTCCCGCACGCATTTCCATTCTTCCAACCTATATGAGAAGGTTTGACCAACATAGCATACAGACAATGCGGTGGCGCCCTGCTGTGCCTGCAGCATTCCCCCACGTCCTCACTCAAGGTAGGCCTCCGGGTTGCACCGACTTGACCACTCACTAATGGCTCCTGCTAGACGACTGGTATCGGGGCTACTTCCTTCCGAAGGGCTCCATGGTTATTGCAAATGTGACGTAAGTTTTGAATTGCCCCATGTCACCTTGTGCATTGCTCATAATTCTCCAGGGCCATTCATCAAAACCCTAACGACTACGAAGACCCCAGCCAATATATGCCAGAGCGCTACTATAAGAATGAACATGGTCTCAAGCCTGGCAGAGTTGCTGATCCTGCACGGCGCAGTGTATACACATTCGGTGCCGGACGGCGAGTCTGTCCTGGAATGCATCTTGGAGAAAACTCCCTGGTAAGCCTCTCGCAGCCAATACATCTGGGCGTGAAAAGTAGCTGACTGGGGCATGTGCATTAGCGAATTAACATGGCGAGACTAGCATGGGGGTTTGACTTCCTGCCACCCCTTGACTCCGTCACTGGGAAGGAAGCTCCCCGGGAGCAAATTCCGGTCGACGTCAAATCTGCGTACACTGATGGCGTTTCGTCAGGGCCCAAGGATTATAAGTGTCGCATTGTGCCTCGAAGCCGGAAGCATGTAGAAATCATGCGGAAGGACTTGGAACTGGCGGGCCCTGAAATAGATCAGTATAGGAAGCAGTGATGAAGTGCGCAGGAAGCGAATTATTGATTTGAGAATAGAGACCGCGCGACAAATTGAACCTGCCTTACCTATTCACCGTTCAATTCTTGGGTTCATATTGTATATAAACGAAATCAATTGGTACCCATTCCAATCCCGCTTTGGTAGCTGTCTCTCCACTGACAGTCGGATTTCCCAGCATTATAGCATTGTTGGTGGAGGCCTACTGGAATCCTTGCTTTTTTCTCTGTCTATCCTTTGTTTCTAGAGCGAATATTACTGCCAATGAGATTGACGATAGTCCTGAAGCTTTTGGAGCGAGTTTCTAAGTCCCTAGGATACCGCATCCAGTTATCTTTGCTCCACTGTGTATGTTCGAAATTAGTACTACCCAGGACGAGCAATACATACATATAGCTTCATGCATAATTACTAGACGAGTCCCAGTCCTTTCCTGTTTCACAAAGAAACAGTTAACTGTCCCTCCCCGTTCGACAACGGCTTAGCAGTGGCAAAATATATATGTTCCTGACCCTGCTGTTTTCACTCCATCCACGCCCAAGAAATGATGCCTCATCGCTTGTCACATTCTTCAGATTGATTATATAGGTTGTTCGGTATAACTATTTCCTGACCTTGCCTACTTGACTTCGCTTCTTAGTCAGGCGGCTGACTACTTACTATCGAATATGATAACACCAAGCAAGCATAGAGGTATAGTGGAAAGCCAACTCTCAGCGGCGATAGCACCGCGTAATTCAATGGGATGAGTACTTGACCATGCTCAAACTTACAAAATTGCCACTCAGTAAAAGAGATGCCCTAGTCATTGTAGAATGGATCGCAGATTCCCTGACTCTAACAACATTAGCGGCCCAAGGCGCCCAAGACTTCAGTGAATGATCGATCGGTTATATCAATCCATACAAGCTCCAGTAGGTCGAAATTGCTCTTCGTAATCATAAAGCGCAAACCCGCCGTACGCTCCCTTTGTGATACTGTTTTAATGACAGGCCTACTAGCACGGTTCACCGTCAAACTTCAACAATGATCATAATGGCTTTATATTTATATATCAGAGGCGGCTTATTTCTGTAGAATAGCCGACAAGACCTTCTCAAGTTTTTGTTTACAGGTGTCTTTGCTATCCAGAGAGTCCTGGCAGCGCCATCCGACGAATCTATCTGGTCTCACCAGGACACAGCCGGATTCCTCTACCCCTCTCACGCGCGCCCATTCCATATAAACATCCTCCCAATCCTGCCGGAATCCGATCGAAAAAACATTGATCGGCACCGAGAGCTTCTGGCTCACTGCGGTGGCAGCGGCTTTCCAATTCTCCCCACCAGGCCCCGTGAAAATGCAGAAGGTACCCTTGCCCGCTAGATCTTGGGTCGAAATCATTCCGCGCGGACAGGCCACATCGAGCCACACATGCGGTAAGCGACGTCCGGGAATGGTGCTGGGTACGTAGTGAAGCACGCGGTCACTGGTGTTGGGACCCTCACTGGGTCTTGTGTCCACGGGCTCATCGTCATGGTAAATGGCATTACCAATATAATGCTGGCCCATCTCAATTCCCAAACCATGATATTCATGACGGCACGTCTCAATCGCTGTATTGAAAGCCTTCCTCCGAGCGGCGCCAGCGGGCGTGGACTGGCTAAGCTCTTGCATTGCCCTCTGGCGGGCTTCTGTATCCTCGGTCAACAGGCCCAGGACTTCCCACACCTGCATTTGATGCTCGAACGCTTCATTTGCGCGGGTGACGATGGACTTTCCTACGGGCTGTCTCTCAATGGAGTACGAATCCAATAATCCCGGACCAGCCAGACCTGGATGGCGGTTAGCGTTGCCATTCCATGGCTCACTCCATTGCCTCACCTTTCTCCACATAGGCAATCTTCCAGGCTAGATTGTAGGCATCTTGAATACAAGTGTTGGACCCCAACCCATTCATTGGCGGGTGTCTGTGAACTGCATCGCCGAGACAGAACCTAGAGGTAACCATCAGTCCGTGCACTCGAGAGAGGGGCATATCGAAGCCATTCGTTCGTGGCTCCTTGAAGCACCTACACATTCTTCCTCGAGTAGCTCTCAGCCACAATCTCGTTGATATTCCATTGAGCTACACTCAAAACATCGACATCGATGGATGGATCCCCTATTAAGGACCGAATGTGCTGAATATATTCCTCATTGGACGGCTTCGCATCCCACAACTTTCGATGTGGGAATAAGATGAACATCCACTCGTGCCACGGTTTGACCATGCGCGCAATGCACAGCCAGCCAAAGTCAGGGTGTGGCCGATCTGGCTGAAGAATGAAATGCAGATTTCCCATGCGCGTCTTCATGAGGTTGGTCAAGTCGGCCTTGACCAGCACGTTGATGGCGACTCCTTTACCCGGTTGGGCGATGAGCGGAATTTGAAGCTGCTTCATGATTCTACTTCTGGCACCGTCTGCGCCAAATAGATATTTTGAGCGAATAGTATACTGGTGCTGGAGTAAATCATCATGCACGGTGGACACAATGCGGCCGTGTTCATCCTCTGTGAAGTTTACAAAAGACGTGTTGAAACGGGTGTCAAAGCCATGTAACACTGCATGCCGGGCGAGAATGGGCTCCAGCAACGTTTGGGGCAGATCGATAGGTAAACAAGGACTTGCCAGCTCATAGTCGCCCTACAGGGGGGGAAGGTTAACCAACAGTCCTCTTGGAAAGATCTCGATTATAGTTAATGCCGAGGGCGAAGAACGACATGATGTACCTTTCGACGCGGGTCTGATCCCCAGGAGTAAAGCCTAGCAAACTCCTCTCCGGCCATACTATAACACCAGCGAGTATGCTGCATGGCGCCATCCGCATTTCCCACGCGCATAATCTCCTCCTCTAGGCCGATGTCACGCAGGCACTCTGGGTAGGATATGAACATCAGCAATTCTTCTTACCCATCCTACAGATCATAACTCACCCAAGGCGGCCATGTTTGTGATATGGGCTCTTGGAGTGTCTGCTGTCCCTGGGGCTGAGTTGATCATCAACCCTTTTAGGCCTGATAGCTAGTTAGCCATCCCTGCTTGGACCCGATCCGCATTGGAGGGCCACTCTACCATGATAAGCTAGAAAGCATGCCAGCGACGACCCCGCAGGGCCTGTGCCCACAATGAGGCAATCCACTTCCAGTGGCTTGCCGGAGGCCGGGGGAAAGTGTTCCTTGCGCATGGCGGGTAGTTGGGTGGGGGTGGATTCTAAAGGTGTATTGAGGCGTTTATAATGATCATAACCTGTCCGAGGACATGAAGATCGAGGGTCCTGGTTATGTATGGCCTTTTGAATGTCAGGCATCGCGTTGGCCTTGAAGCGGAAGCCAAGTCCGTAAAGCCGCGGGCGATGGAGTGATCGTCCGGGCAGTTTAAGTAAAGAATTAGTCCGTCCGGCCGGCTGGGCCGAAGTTCTTCTCCCCATGGGGAAACTGACCTCACAACGGCCACCGAGTTCCACCGCACATTCTTTTATAATGTCACTTTCTAAGCTGTTATGATCTGATTTGTTCTTCTCTAACGGACGGTAGCGTACAGCAATCAATCCACCATGACAAATTCTCAGTCGAAGAAGATCAGTCTGGTTCGTCCAGCATTCGTGAACTATACCCATCAGAATTTCGATCAAGCCACAGGCTTCCTGGAAGATTTCGGTCTGGTTCCGTGTCACGAGTCAGAGGACAAGATCTATTATCGCGGATATGGTACGGACCCCTTTGTGTATTGTGCACAGAAAGGCGACCGTGACGAGTTCGGCGGTGCAGGCTTCGTGGTCGAAAGTGAGGCCGACCTGGAATACGCCAGCGAGAGCCTCCCCAACGCAACCGCAGTGTACCATCTCGACGCGCCTGGCGGGGGCAAAGGGGTGACCTTCCGGGATCCGATCGATGGATTTGCTTTTCACTTGGTTTGGGACCAGTCGCCAAACAAGGCGCAGGGCCCCCAACTGCCACAGTTAAACTATAACCTGGTAAGGGCTCGAGAAATATCACCTATTCCTACACACTGCAACGACCATGTGCTAATAGATAGGCCGGTAGCCTACGGAAAAGCATCGTATCAAGGAAACTAAGCGGTTCGGTAAAGGTCCAGCACCCGTGCACAAACTGGGCCATTTTGGACTCTGTGTGACCGACTTCGAAGCATTCTATGAGTTCTTCACAGCCCATTTCAACTTTCACCCAAGTGATGTGTGTATCTTCTTCGCTGGTTGGTAGATGCAATATGCTGACTTGTACTGTCGTAGTTCATTTATGATGAAAGTGGTCGGAACATCACCGTGTTCTGTCGTCTAGACCGGGGCTCCACCCCGGTGGATCACCATTGTTTCTTCTTCTTCGAAGGCCCCAAAGCACATGTGCACCATGCGTCATTTGAAACGCATGACTTTGATATCCAAACAATTGGCCATGACTGGCTGCGTGAAAAGGGATATACCAACTGCTGGGGCGTGGGACGGCATGTCCTCGGAAGCCAAATCTTCGATTACTGGTATGCTGCGACAAAACAACGGCCAAGGAACACAGCTGACCTGAGAATGGAGTAGGTTTGACCCTTCGGGCTTCATCGTCGAGCATTATGTGGATGGAGACCTCTTCGACAACACAATCCCCACCAACAGGACGCTGGCGGGCCCCGACAATCTGCATATTTGGGGTAAGTCAGACCTCCGTGACTCGTTCAAGGGAAGGTTCCAAGCTACCGTTGGTCATTTGCTGACACGACTATAAGGTCCTGAACTACCTCCCACATTCTTACTTTGAGCTCTGCGGGTGGTTGGTATGGGAATGCATGGTTTCTGCCAGTAGTGGGAGAACAAGCACATCAATGGAAGATCGGGGAACCACATTGGTCGCAGGGAGTAAGGATGTGCGCTATATATAGCATGACCGTTCTAGAGGCAACGGCCTGACATGATGCAATGAGTAAAGATTATATTTTGAAGCTTTCTGCACCGGATGTGCCTATGGTTGTCTTGTAGTTAGACTAATGGAGTTCGTGACGCATCCTGTTACATTCGAGTTGCTTATCGGAATGAGCAGTATTAGATGTCGCAATTCCAAGCATCCCATAGGCCGTATTCTTGTTGGTTGTGGATCAATATCAGCCCCTCATGTGGATCAGCTGCCCGTAAAATACGATAGCCTCTCAGGTCCACAAAAACGGCCTTAAAGGTTAGCGCACACTTATGTGCTGGATTCCGCACTAAGGAAAAACTAGCATCAAACGGCAGAGTCAAAAATGGCCCGAATTGGTACCTGCGCTGGGGTTCTAGAGTGGCTAATGGTTGCGCCAGCGCCCCTATAAATAGTCGGTTTGAATTCAATTTTCACACCTCGCTATGCTAAAGCTTTTCCCTGAGTATCCATTCTGTTTAAGTGAGAATCAATCTTGACCTCAGGCAGTTCGTTCACTTATAGCGGCGTACCAGAAATTGTCATGGCGGCCAACGAGAAAACGGGACGCCACGGAGGCTCGAATCGTACCGATAACGACCCTGATATCAGGGAAGGTATTGCGAAGTTTGATGGATCGTTCGCCCCCAAAGCGAGGCCGAGTGAACCTCTGCCTTGTCCGTGCTACACAAACCGTGACTATCTTATTGGCGGTTGGTCCGATCCTTCCATGTAGGAAGCTGTGGTACGTGGGCCTAGTCTGTGCCCCCTAGGATAACAAAATCTTAAGCTACCTTTCCAAGTTCATCGAAGTGGTCGGGATGTCAGGCCTTGTATATATGTCTAGGAATATTAGCTCTACGCTGCTCAGTTATAATATCAAGTAGATCGGTACTTATATCGGCCTATGAAATATGTTTTTGATTAGTATTTTATCTACACCACAGCTGCAACCACAGGGGGCTATCTTAACCAGATAATTATATTTTCAACCATTTTTTCAGACTCTGTCCTATTTCACGAGGTTGGTTTAATCTAAGCACTGTTAATTAATATACTAAGTCTCTATGCTAGGAACTATCTATATATGTGTTCAGACCCTGGGCGCAGCGTTGGGTGGCGGTATCTTAACAGGAGTCTGGGGCCGTACCCGCTCCATAGAGCAAGTGCTTTAGTTCCCCCATATTTGCTAAAACTGGTGCTAACATCTAGTAGGGTTCATGGAGGCGGTTGTTTTCACGATACCGCCACTATTTTGTCAAGAGAGGTCTTTCTGAATGAGGTATTCGCTTCCTTGGTGCTTCTCTTCCTATCGTACAGTGTGGGTCTCGACCCGAGGCAGGTACTTGTTTTTGGCCCACGCCTTGGGCCTCTTCTTGTTGGCTTCTCTCTAGGGATTATATTGTCTGCCACCAGTAGAATTGCCCCCGGGTATGCTGGAGCTCAGATAAATCCTGCCAGGTGTTTTGCATTTGGCATTGCGAGGAGAGATACGTCAGGTAGGTAATTCGTAACAGAGATATGGCAAGAACCATAACTAACCGCTTTATAAGGCCAGTGAATTTGGTGGTTTAGACCAGCAATTGCCGCACTTTTGCAGGCTCTTCTATATAGCCTAGCCCCGCCTGCTTCTCGGTCGAAGGCAAAACAGGATCCGTTGCCAGCCCTGCCTGTGTTGCAGGAAAATGATACATCTTGTTGTGCCTGAATTATAGCTAGCACATATCAACTCCCTCCACAGCCTCTTCTACTGTTACAATCTGCACTCTATCCTACCATTCAACTTTCTACCAAACCCAGTATTCTACGCTCTGCTGATGACCCCAAAGTATTAGTGGTCTCTTGCATGGCGTATTATGTAAAAAGAATACGTTTTGAATCCCGTCTTCGCTTTGGGTGTTAGTATAAAACGTCATATCTGCCGCTGCTGGCGAGAAGGCCGCATGACGGCACTAATAGGGTTAGTGAAACGGTCCTGAAGGGAATTAAGGAAGCAAATTGGTTCTCTCCTCGAAACCAGGTTCAAATATGGCTTGGTATGAGTTCCGCATACGAATCACTGTAACGCAGCTACAAAGGTAGTACATTGGAATATAAAATTAGACTGGACTGTATACGCCTGCTGCTGTAGGGTGATGCAAATAGGTCTAGTAACTACGAATCTACATACTTTGAGAATATAAAGTTGTCTAATAGCAGGTCGCAGCTGCCTTAGGATATTATTCCATCCTTCCAGCCCCATGCACTATGTATGATTATCTGCGTGTGGTTCGCATCTGATGCTGCCTGATCATGATCCTTGTTTCTCTTCACGGAGTTAACGGATCGGAAACCGGACGACCTTGCCCCATATCTCGGACAACGAACGCAATCCCGTAAGGCTAAGGTGCAAGGTGTGTATGTGGAGTGGCTCTTGGGTTATTTCCCTAGCTGGTCGCTGTCTGAGAGATGCTTGTTCCTGAACCACTAATACTTAGTGCTTTCTTGGGACCTCCTGGTGGAGCGCCGGTGTGAACTCTAAAGAATTTCCCTTCAAGTAATGATTTCAGACCAGCATTTTCCGAAAGTGATTTAGTTCACTAGGTATAGTGGAGCTAGAAGAAGAAAATAACAATGTGGCTGGCGTACGGCGTGTTTAATCTGATCGAAGGCCTAGTTGGCCATAATCCTGCATGGGCGGACGAGGAGGATCTCTGAAGACCAATAGTCGTTCGAATAGTTTACAAACTTAGCGGTAAGCCCCCCAAATTCTTCTCGATCTTACAGATCCTGGTGCTGAGAGTCTAGACCTGTCCGAGCTGTCGGAATTTCACGTATGCATCCAGATCCCGGCCGCTCTCGTCCTTTACTTGTCGGGCCTATGCGCCTTGAATATAGTTTTCACAGTTATGGCAATAGGGTTGGCTGACCGCGGTTAGTCTATAACTGATCCTTTCCCTAGAGACGTAAGACTTTGAGTCCGAAGCCCCATATGACATGAAACCCTGTGGCAAGACATGCGGACGCCTCCGCGGTTAAGAGCTTTTGACCCTTCAGATGCCAGCTGTACCAGATCGATAAGTATACCCACGTGGCGGACCATGGTTTTCTGCATGTAAACAGCCGGGTTATCTCATGGTTATTGAATGTCCAGTCGAGATCTGTGCACCTATATAACACCTCACATATGCTGGCCACAACCGAGCAGGCGCAACCATTCTGTGTCCAGTCAAAGGATCAGAGGGTTTGGAGTCAACAGGTCAGGGCTAGGGAAGAGCATCCAAATGTAGAGCTGGGAAATTGACATCTAGCACTTCGCAGAAAATACCAGTAAGCAAGTTACGGGAATTAGACAGGTGGTACAACTTCTAACATCCTTTTTGGCTGACATCATGGCCCCATCTCTGCGACCTCTACTACACATCATGGACAGAGCATGGCAGGGCATTGCAAATGTGTTTTTTTCTGGAATGTTTTGGTTCCATCATGTATAGTAGCCATTCTACAGTCACCAGAGCATTGTCTTACCACCGTGTCATTTTTGACGGGTATAGCCGAACCTGATGACCCTTTTTGGAAAGGCTCAGGCTGTGGGGATTTGAGTGAGCCTGTAGTTGAGGGCATTCACAGCTCCCCAAGGAGTAAAAGCCCCTCGTAGTGTTCAACAGACCCAAGCAAAGCTTGGTATTCCTTTCCAACCTATCCCTATTTTAGAAAGTGCTGCTCGTGTGCAATCACCGACCAAATATCGACTATGGTCCACATCTCCTTTGGGCCCATGTGGAATAAGTCATCGGGATGGTGTGATTGAAGTTGGATACAAAGATCAACATGGCTGTGGCTTGAAATACACAGTAAGTAATTCCATTGATCATGCTGGTAGCGACCAGACTATGTGCTATTTGCAGCCGTGGCATAGAGATGCTAGAATCAATAATTGAGAGTTGAAAACTCGCCGAGCAACTTTACACTATGGGGAGCTTCCTACCCCTTATTTTGGAAATTTACAGGCGCATATTTGACGCTCAGCTTCTGTCAAATTACGCATGGTCAAGTTAACAAGTGGAATTGTGCAAATACTATTAAGTAGGTAGGTCGATGAGTATACCAGACACTGTATCGGAGGTGATATGAGCAACGCCCAGGCCGCACGAAGAACAATGTGTCAAGTTTAAGTAGTGGTGTATGCACGGCCAAGCACAGTTGGCCGAGCTGTAGCTTTAATAGCAGACGAGAAAGCTGAGCTTCGTAAACGAGACGTGGGATTTCAAGTCACAATCATTCAGATCGCGGAGACGGCCGGTGCTTAAACACAAAAGTAAAGATACAGCTCGCTATCTCCGTTTAGAAAGAAATGAAAGCTGTAGGATTACTTAGACCTCTTTCGGTATATCAGAGAATTCCCTTGTTTACTTCTAAACTAGGAAATTATAGGTCAGCTACCATAAGGTAGTGAATTAATGCTTAAGAGGATTGTATTTACATGATCACAATTGTAACCTTCAGGATCTGTCGATTGGGTACGAATGCGCCCACAGTTGCATGTACAAAATATCTATCGGCTTAATACTTGATTCCCAAGACCGGCCAAGATCCCCGAAAATGCAATGAACCCATCAAGTGACACCGGGCAGCCGCAACAGTTCCGTGGCTTCTGCCTTCACCTCTTCCCGGTGATCCACTTGTCACCTACTCCAAGAGACTGCTGTGCCAATTTTACCTTCGCACTAGCGTCTTTTCCCAGCCAAATTGGCTCCGTCTTATCCAGGCCCTCTTCGATATCATAGGACTGCCCTCCGAGTACATATATCGCTCTTCCATGAAGCCCCCGCTGCAGCTTGTTATCCCAATCTGTTGTTCCAATGCTTGGCCTGGCGTGCAGATCGGGAGATTCCTGCTCATCATACCACATGGCGTCACTACCAGGACCTGCAGCAGCAATGGCCACTAACACGCTGGCAATATCCTCTGGCCCATTCACAGGTAGATCCCCCTTCTGCCAGTCCCCTACGACGCCATCGACCATGTTTGTGCGAGTCATGCTCGGACAGACAGCATTTACTCGAACTCCGGGGAAGGTATTGGCGACGTAGGGTCTCAGCGACCGCATCAATCCAATAACAGCATGCTTGGCGGTACTATATAAGAACATGCCTGGAGTTTCCTTGAAACCCCCGTGGCTGCTCAGCAATGTGAGGCTTTTGTCCACGGCACCACCATCATTGTTTTGGCTCAGGTAGGTGAGAGCCAGATGAGTGAAGAACACAACCCCAGTCAAGTTGACATCGAGAGTGAACGTACTCGGCTCTTTTGCGAGATCGTCGAGGCTGTTTCGTGGGTCAAACCAGCCGGGGCGCTCTAGCACACCGGCATTGGCAATCGCATGGTCAACCCTGCCATACCGGGACAGGGCGAATTGAAAGAGCTTTCGCACATCTTCGTAGTACCGAACATCGGTTTTGACATAGTGAACCTTTTCCGATGATATGGATTTAATAACCTCCTCGGCGGCAGCATCGTTCACGTCCCCGAAAATAACGTTCGCTCCGCGGAAAAACAGCTCTTTGACGGTAGCTGCTCCGATTCCAGTGGATCCTCCGCTGAGAACGACGACAGCATCCTCTAAGGCTGAGAGGTGCAACGTCTTATGGTTAGGGTCGAATCGTGCCATGGCGTAGTAATTGATCTGAGTAGTCGGGAATAGGGTTCGATCAACGGGATATGAGACGGGGACGGAATAGATTTGTTGCAATAGGACTATAGCAGATTAAATACACTGGCTCCCTCACAGGCCGCGGCATGTATACCTCCTGTCCTATCTGAGCTAGCCTGGTCAGCGGTTGTCCGGATAAGACCAGAATCCGTTCCGTTGCTCGGCCGAGGAGACAAGAATAACTTGTCTGGATTCTGGGAATTGGCATTCCCACGCCTGTCAATTGTGTCATTCGCTGTTTCCAGTCGTCCAGTTAATTGTCCAGGCATAGGAGGTCCGTTCATCTAGCTTTCCAATAGCCTGATTCACGTCTCACGGATAGTTTACTATGATCGTCTACTTAACCTAATCATCCACAACTGCTGCAATAAAGGGGGGTGAGTTTGCGTCTGGAAATAGTCCGTCCGTCCATCTGCAAGGTTAGTTCTCTGTACGAGCGAAATGCATACAACATGTTGTTAATGCCAGCTACAGTCGCCACTCAGATTGATTGATCCCCCCACGGGGCTGTCTCTATCCCTGGCCAAACCTTGCCGTCATGCGCTTTTCTATGCAAGATAAATACTTCGCATGTAACTGCGTTGATGCAACCCTAAAGCCGATGGAAATGGCCCGCGGGGCATCTCGGTGCATTAGCGCCCGGGTCGGCACAACGGGCCATCTCAATTCGCAGTGAAAGCCGAGAAATAAGAAAGAGTCCATTAGCCAGCAGACTGCAACTTATATCTACCACCCACTGGGAACCTGACTCTTGTAAGTACTGGATGATTATCCGTTACCTGGTCCTTCCATTACTCAGAGACAGCCAATTCAGTCCCAGTCCGTTCCACGTAATCCACCAACATGTTCCAAAGGCTGATTCGCTTTGTGGATGATCACGGCGCGATTTTTTTTGGAGATGTCCTCGAGGGCAAGAAGTTTGAGACATTAATTGGCACGTCGGTCCCCGTCCTCGAAGGCTCCCCAGTGACGGGGCTCAAAGCGACAGGGAAAAATGCCGTCGTTGCGCAGGTATGGCTCCTTATCTTCCAGGTCGCGGCTGTCCCACACGATTGCGATAGCGAGTAATAAATACTTGTAGTTACTTCCGCCCCTTGCAGATGTCCCTGTTTTTATTTGCGTGGGGTTAAACTATCGCCAGCATGCAAATGAAGCCAACGTGAGTCGGCCCCGTGTGCTCCCTTGCAAGTATAAAACATATTGTTAACAATTTGCCGGAAGCTCACGGTCCCTCCCTACCCGGTCCTATTTACCAAGCCATCCAATGCCCTGGCTGGTCCCAGTGATAAGATCCCTATTCACCCAAAGGCTCAGTCAATGCTTGACTATGAGGGAGAACTGGGTATTGTTATCGGGTGGGACGCTCTGAACGTGTCGGAAGACAAAGCATTGGACTTCGTGTTGGGCTACACATGCGCTAACGATATATCTGCACGAAACTTCCAGCTTCCCGATACATCAGGGGGCCAGTTTTGCTTTGCGAAGTCTTTTGACAAGTTTGGACCTATTGGACCTTGTATTGTGTCTTCTCAGCTAATCCCCGACCCACAACAACTTGTTCTCCAGACGAGAGTGAACGGCTCTGTCAGACAAACCACATCCACCTCCGATATGATTTGGACGGTGAAGCAAATCATTGCGCATGCGAGTATGGGTACTACAATTCGGGCTGGAACTGTTATTATGTCTGGAACCCCATCTGGTGTAGGCTTGTTTTGTCAGCCTCAAGCATTTATGACAGCGGGAGACGAGGTGGAGGTGGATATCGACGCCATCGGTGTTCTTAGAAACAAGATAGTGTTCAATTAAAAGCAAGATGTGCCAATTTTGCCGTACGAAGTCCATATCAAATAAAAGGATAGATACTAGACTTCTTTTTCAACCTGCACGCACACCCGGTCGCTGCGACCATGGTGTTCTCCTTTCCATAAGCCTATGATTTGTTCGACCAGCAACTACGTCAATACAGAGGTTTCGGAATCCCATCACTGTGCGTCCGGGCTATCCAAATTCCGCATACAAGATGTGGCATTACTCAACTTGCTCCCAGTCAGCATAACCACACCAATTGCTGTGAGGGAGGAGCTCAATCTGGCCATGCCAGAGCGAGAGCCAAGCATTCCCATTAAGGCCAGTCGGTTTCCCTCTGCGCCGAGGCTCATTAAGAGTCTTTTAGATAGAGTTCACCTCGTGTCTCACGCTGTTGACGTATGAGAGTGCTTTCTTTCCTTGCAAACTGTTTTGTGTACAGTGTCCTGAGAGTTGGAGAGCGTCTACGCAAAACGACCACACTGCCCATAATCTGCTCATATACTTCATCTTGAATGGGATTTTTCGGATTAGCAACAGAGGTGGCCTATGGGATAATGGGATCCAGTTTATGACATGCTTCAATCCTCGCCCTCTAGACCCCAGGATAGTTTGACTACGGCACTCTCCTCCCCATTTCCAGGACGTCCAAAAATGACTTCGGCCTCCAACTTGCCGGGTTCCAGATTTATCACGATGTTAAATAATGTTGAACATTTCTGGGTTTGATATGACGATAGGCCCTCCGAGCAGTAGATAGCCTCTGGCATATTATACATGTTTATATCAGGTTCTGTTGAGTAGATAAAGTAGATATGTACCCTGATCATGTAAAGCCCCGAGGCTTACTATCTAAGACAAGCTAGATTCGATCTGAGTCAATGCGGCCGGCTGAGGGAAGGAACTAAATAACCTGGGTCCTGGAAACTGGCTTTGGGCAATAGCAACCTTGTCAACAGTGTAGATGTCATCATTATATCTATAGATAATAGTCGTACCACCTGAACCTGATGCACCTCATGGCAGTTAAGAGCCATAGTGTGGCTTTTAGCTCGTGTGATCTTTGAAAGCGAATCAGGTTAACATTTGAAGAATAGCTTCCCTGGGACTGTGAATTACTCTCATATCCGTATCACCGCCCATCTCCCAAAAAGCATAAGATCATAATTGAGGAGAGACTTTAGCTATATCAACGGTATACGTCCCTAATGATGTACAAGTCGATTGGCGCAAGGGCATAATAGAGTAGGTCTACCCCACCTTTTTCCCTCGGGTTGTCGCAAATGTAAGTATGTCTTCGTTTCCCATTTTAATTAAAAACAATTAGCCGCACTGCACAACGTAGCTTCACTGCAGCATGGATACGCCGACTGCAGGTACCAATTTTATTATTTGCACACTAAACATGAGGCGTACATATCATAGTGGGCTGACCAATTCTAAGCATCTAGAATTATTGGTACTACCTTGACGTTGCATAAAAGGCACTACAACGAATATGTGCCGCAGCTTAACCCAGTTAGGCCCCTGTTAGGGAGCAATGGTTCACTCCATTGATTAAAATACTATTCTTCCGCCTTATTCCATTCTCCACAGTTGCTGAGAGTCCAAGGACCATTTGGTCATGTTACCATAGGCAATAGATGTGAATCATCACGCTAGTTCTTGTCGAATATGTATATAGGCGTGGTGTGATTCTCTCCAACCCTTCTCCAACCTGTCTATGCAGCCGAGAAAGATTCTGGTGAGCACTCACTGTATGTAAAGAGTTTTACCATGGCTATCCGCTTGCAGCAATTGCAATGTCATATGTTTTTGGTTTATCTTCTCTTATTGCTGGTACCGTTGGACAGATGTGGGTGATGAAGCTGTGGTGGAAAGTCTAATTCCATCGCAGGATTAAGTGATATTTATTTGGAGATGCGGTTGGTCGCTAAAGAGAAAAGATCACCGGGAGGCTGGGTCGTTCCGTAAAGTCAAGGCCGAGCTTATTTGTGGTAGTCTAGAACGGGGAAATACATTTGTCAGTTGAACCTCAACGGAACGAACTGTATCCTCCCGGGCCACCCGGCTGCCCTTCTAAAATTGAAGCCATACAAAACGCCCTATAATTGCGTCTCTATAGAATCATGGGTAGTCCTATCGAGTCAGACAATTCGTAACTTATGGCCCTGTATATTACAGCCAGAACACCTATGTGGGGCGCGTCACAGGAGCCGATTCAGCAAGTAAAGCCTATCTACCTGTACAATTTCATCTGCGTATTTTCTGCTTCCTATAAGCGCCCTGGCTTCCTGTACTGCTATGCCCGATTCTGTTTGCTTCTATTAATATGACGGGTAGGAATTGGAAGGGTTTATCCGAATATGTTAAGTATGATCTTGAATAGGGTCACCTTTAGAAACAAGGCCTCGTCTTGACGTTTATGCGTTCTTCGGACTCGGTACGTAAATCGTATGGGTTAGAGAAGATCGTGTGTTTCTATTGAGACCTAGATAAAAGCACTGGGTAAGATATCGGCGTGCGAAGGAGGAAAGTGAGTAGTATACAGTATGTAGAAATATCGACAAAAGTACTAGCAAGCATTTACTGGACATTCTCAGGTTCATCGACGCAGGTATTCATACTCATATAGCATTATAACACTGGCTCATACGTATTGCCGATGAGTAAGATACGGTCCTCAATTGTCACCTTAAAACCCTTCAGTATATTGCCCCGTGGATGTTATCTCCCAATCTTCACACTGCATGATGATATGGCTAGCAGTGTCTCCATCGACTGATCTCGTATCACTTTTGGAGGAAGAAACGGAGTTCTTCCGGCACCTGTTACCTTCTAACGAATCGTCACCGCTTCTCGTACACCTTCGTCCTCTTCTTCGTTTTCTGTCCCTGTCTCTTCTTGCTCTAGTGCCTGGTCCTGCTCCTGTAACCCAAATTCGGCATGCAACTCCTCACTTGGCCCTAGCTGCTTAAGGTGAAACGGCAATACCAAACACAGGACCTCAAACGGCAAGTCATCCACCACACCCAGCGCAAGATATCCTCATACACGCTCAGCACATCCATCTACAAATTCAGGTTTCCGGTAACGACCGCGTCACCTCACTTGCCAAACCATACGCAATCCCGTTACTTATCTGCAGCCGTAGATGTTCATTGCTCAAATGTTCTAACAGAATCTAGACCCGCACACTGAATATTAACATCGGAATAGCAACTGCCAAAACCCAGTCCAAGTTGCGCATGAAGGCTCATGTGGCCGTAGCGGTTGTGATATCTCCGGAAGTGTGGCCTGGTTAAAGGTTAGTGTGGTAGAAAGGACCATGCCTGAGCCGACGCCGAAAACAACTGGGAAGCCGGCTTAGTCACGCACGGGTGAATAATCGTTGAGGGAGAACAGGCCCATGCCAGCAGTGACGCAGATGTAGCCGAGGAAATAGAAGGGGCGGCATTTGCCATTCAAGGCAATCAGGATACCGCTTAGTATGGCGAAAGGAGCAATGGCTGCGGTAATCGTGGAATATGTCCCGGATTGGGTCGCGCTGAGGATATGAATGGCTTGGAATTGTACGGGAGGAATTATCGCACCCAGTAGAGCAGCATATTCTGGATGAAGAAAATCCCAGAGAGTACAGAGGAGCGTGACGCTTGAAAAGAGCCGGAGCGGGGAAGATAGTCCTGAACGGAATCTTGAGGCATGGCGAAGGTAAAAGAGCACTAGTCCGGCGAGCCCGAGAATCAGAGATACCAGAATGGCATTGTCAGCCAGATCTACTCGCTTGGTCGACTGCCAGACAGTCATCCTGGTGCTTGGCGAGGGTGCATAACGCACAGGACGAGCATGAGGAGCAGTAGAAATAGATCACGCAGTGACAAGTTGATCTGAAAAAGCCCTGCGCCAAGTCAACATTGCGCAAAGCAGCCTCCGAGGGTGAGTCCGATGCATATCCCCACGGTATGGGCCGTGGGGATATGCAATTAGAATTGGTCGCAACAATGCGTAGAGTACGGAGTAGAGGTGGCAGACATCTGAGCGCGGTCCATGAAAAGGGGATGGTATGTAGCTGTACTGAGCCGGTTGACGATGTCTTCACCGGTCCTGGCGGCAATGCGGTGAGGCTACAAGTGCACGTAGACGGAAGCTGATGCCTTCTATGCTGGAACGGTGTGGCTTAGATTGCGTTGTTGTGCGCGTAGTATCGGAGTTGGCAACGGGGCTGAGTCGGCTCAGTTCGATATAAGGGTCCTCTGGTTGCATTCCTGCGGATTGCTTCGCAATATAGATCAATTTGTTCAAGACTCCGTATTCAATCTTCAGCTTAATACTGTACACGGTAGCTTTCAGCGTGGTCTGGTAGATGTAGTAGTTCGCGCATTCTACTGCGATCAGAGCGATGTCCATCAGGATGCAGACCAGGTTCATCATGAATAATTGTAAGATGATGTTACGGTTGTCTCGATTGGGGTTCAATTTCAACATGCGCGTAGTTTCCCAGATGTAAATACCCGAGATGATCAGTTCTTGGGCGCAGAATCCCGCGACTTGGACTCTCTCCATGATGTTATATGCATGCAGGTACTTATACGACTGCTCATAATTGGCGGCGTATGTCAATACGGTAGTCGGTATATGCAGGAGGAAAACATTGGCAATGATCATCCCGCAGACGAACTTTAGCACTCTTGTATTTTGAACAACCAGATGTAGTCTGGAGTAGAGTACGAAGGACTGCCCAGTCACCATGGTCCACCACCCAACCGTGACAAGAGTCAAGGAGACCCAGATTGCTGACGTCAGATCAAAGAATTTCATAAAAAACCCGATCGAGTAGGGGAGGATCCCCGCAGTCGAAATCAGCAAACTCCAAAAGTAGATCCCTTTATACTGTTTGAAGATGGAGAAGATGAGAACCATTAGCTCAATGGAATTATACCAGGCGATCACCACGAAGGTGGTGATAGTGATGCGAAGACCATCGCTGTTACCCGTGTAACTGCCCGTAACCCAATTCGATGGGCTGGACGAGCTGCCAGTTGACATGGTTATTGAAATCAGTCAGGGTAAGTGTGTAGCAGTGGCAGTGAACTGTACAACGTCCATGGTCTGGGCGATGTTGAATATAGGGGTGGCCAGATCACGGGTTGCCAACACAGCACGGAAAAGAAAAACAGAAAAGGTGCATGTGAGTTGGAAACGGAGAAATGTTGCGGGGGGATTTTTGCAGATGGCTGCCCTCTTGGGTCTAGTGCCTTTTTACGCGATCAGATAATAAATGATTCGTATTCGACGAAACATTTTAGTACAACCGCAGCTATACCACATTTAACACACAACTATGTGTCCATCTTACATGATTTCCAAGGGCCCAGGGTAGCTGTGTATTGGTCTACTTGGTCTTTTGTGCAGCCCACCAAACGTTCCTTTCTAGACGGTCCTTAATTAGGGCTTGTTCGCAATTGATAGCGCTGCATGATTGACCCTACACTCCGTACGGTTCGGAGTATGCCCGACAATCAATTCGATTTATTAAATGGCGGTAGAAATAGCCGCTGTACGCGGCCAAAAATGGCAGACACCTGTTAGCACGTGACCTCCATATATATATCTGTTTCCCGCCACAGCCACATCTGCTACGATCACGCACCTTGATACATGTCTTCAGCAATCGACCTCCAGAATAGCAGCTTAGCTCATAATTTCCGTGAATTCAGTCATGGACCTTCGCCAAATCTATCAACGATATATTTCAGACGTCCATCATGACTACATTGCTTCAACATATCCACCTTCCAAGCTTTCCAGTCCGTGTCCCTATCGACTCCAGATGTAGTCCAGATGCCACGGATTAAGAGAAGTGTCTCATTCCAGGGAAGATCAACATCAAGACCAAAGAAGAATCTTCGTAGCCTCTCGTCTTTGCTCATGATCTCAGCTAAATCAGTTGCTCCCTTCGCTTTCCAAAAGCAAGCTAAGGCGTGATCATGAATGGTCAAGGACGACTTTCCATGGTAAATATCCCCCATTTCTGCCGTCACAAGAGACGGTCCAAATGCTTCACTGGCAGGGACTACGCGAGCCATTTACCAATTTATGATTCCAATGATATTGAGCTCGTCATCTACCATCAGGTGGTCTCCCTTATCGTCCACGTGCTTGATATAGAATTGCTCCGTCACGGTTGATGAATCAGGGTCCCGGTTTGCCGGAAGAGCCGGGACCTGGGACTTCAGGAATGAAAATACCAGGTAGGCATTCACCGGAAAAGATGTGTAAAGCTGACCATCAGCAATGAGAGCCATGTTTTGCTCCATGAATAAATTGTAGTAGTCGTCACTCGCCGTATCAAAGGGCCCAGAAGGGCTCTGAACGAGGAATCGCTCACTGGCATTAGCAGAGACTATTGGCTTGGAAGGCTAAGGACCTAGAAGAAAAGATCCTGCCTTTGAGAACGAATGATGCTGGCTCTCAATCAAAATTTCCGCCAAGCCATTCCACACCCTTTCCTTGTCTGTATCATCTGCAAAGCGCTTCTCATGCAGTCCCTGCATACTCCACGGCCTGCCCGTCATGTGTTCCATAATGATATAGCTAACACCCACCGTGTTGTTCTTGTCGCTAGCAAGGCCATAATCAAACACTCGGGGAGCAGGTACGTTGGTCATTTTGAGGAATTTGAGGGTGGCATATTCGCTGTGAATGATGTAATCGGCAAGAAATTGAGGGATGCTGCTACTAATTCGAGGTACTCGAAGGAGCCAAACTGAACCATCATCAGGAAAGCGAATACGAGCATGATAGTTAGCACAACCCATGAGGGATCCGCGCCCCCACGCTGGCGGGTACTCAATCTCGCATTGTCGCCCACCATTTAGTCCTGAGGCACGCTCGCAAACAGCATTTCCGTTAATTCTGGTCCGAATTGGTTTCACTTCCGCATGTACATTGGTTTCAAACTCATCATCTGTGAGGGACTAATGGCTGTTAGGCCCCATTCAAGTAGACAGCAAATGCATGGACTGTACCATGTCTCCGCACGTATGAGACGGCGGGCGACGGTGAGTTGCGCAGAGATGGCGATCACATCGCTCACAAGCACCAAATCCCCGTACACTCGGTCGTATGCAGCCCACGAAATCACAAGTAAAGAACCTATCAAGCATGAGGGCTATCGAGAGTTGGATCAGTGAACTACTGTGCGTAAAAAACAACCCAAGTTTAAATAATCTAGAAGGGTGTCACAGGCAATGTGAAAGCTTTCGTAGAAGGTTCGACCACAATATAGTACCAAGCCACAGCCAATTTGAACCAGTAACACAGAGGGGAGCGGTTTCAGCGGCTGAGAGGGAGTGTCAGTAGATCACCTAGCGTGACTCTTTTGAGAGATATCTGTCTTGGTCGTACAATGACTGCCCGAGGCCGCCATATATGATCCAGCAAGATCACAAAGCCATGCTATCGACGGGCTTAGTGAGCATCCATTGAACACTTACAGATGCGTATCTACTAAGGGTCGCGTGAGGTCTGTATAACAAGCGGAACTGTTCCATTTGCTGCAACTATGGCCCTAGAGGTTAGACCGTGAAACCCACTATTATACTATAGTGGGGTGTCTCAGTGGAGCATTAGGAAAGCATCCTTGGCGTTGACCGAAAGAAATTTTGGTTTGGAGTTTTGAGCTTATGATATGGCCCCTGTTCATAGGGACAGAAAACCACAGCAATGCTGCGCGGTAAACCTAGGACTTCTAGGATTAGATATGTGATGTTGTCAGAGTGAAATCTTTTGTCACCTGCTAGCCAACCTGTTTCCACAAAATTAAATTTGGGATATACACTTATACCGAATCCACTTGGACCGGGGAGATAACGGATTTTAGTGTCGGATTAGAGTTGGAGTTAGCAAACCTCCTCGGTATTTGTTTCTCCCCTTTTACTAAAGACGCCGGTCTTTCTGTCGAATATAAAGATATACTATTGATCCGGAATATTATTAACGACCGTTACTTGGTGCAGAAGATTCAAGTCTTCTAGTTCTATAGATTGTCTTCCCTCCTTGTTGGTTAACTTATTGCGAGCCATGGCTTCTGAAGCACCGACCGAAATTGAAACACGTCTTTACATCAATGGCGAGGTTGGTTGGCTTAATTTCGAACCCACGTATACATGACTTCATGGCTGATGAACCATCTACTCCAGTTTCGCCCTGCTTCGGATGCAGGAACTTTCCCGTTGAAATCACCTGCCACCCTGGAAACAGTTGCATTAGGTGAGTTGTCACGGCTTCTGCCGAGAATTTAAGAACTAGAGTGGGGCTTACAACCATTCGTCATATAGTATCTGAAGCCTCGGTGGAGGATACGAACGACGCCGTTGCAGCAGCTCAAGCGGCATTCCCAGCATGGTCAAGCCTCTCGCCGCGTGATCGGGGGGCGTACATGTTGAAGCTCGCCGATCTAATCATCGAATCCGAAAAGGAGCTAGCATATCTAGAGGCCATCTCCATGGGGCGACCCGTCTCGGGGTACTGAGATGCGAAGGGGGCCGCAGAAAAGCTGCAGTATTTCGCTTCCGCCGGCTGGAACGGCCAAGGTCAGACGAGCCTGAACACACCTGGATTCATCAATATGACTCTGAGGCAGCCTTATGGGGTTGTTGCGGCGATTATCCCCTGGAATGTCCCGGTTTATTTCTTCATAAACAAAGTGGCGCCGGCAATCGCTGCTGGAAATACAGTTGTCATTAAGAGTAGTGAAAAGGCGCCTTTGACTGTAAGCTCACTCTCCTTGGTGGATTTGTCTAGTAATCGATTCTAACTTCATCTCAGTCGGCCAGAGTTGCGCATCTGATTCAACGCGCTGGGTTTCCACCAGGTGTCATCAACGTCCTGTCTGGTCACGGCAATATCTCTGGCTCCGCTCTGGCACATCATATGGACGTCAGGTTGATCACTTTCACAGGTTCTGGGCGCACAGGACGTCTCATTCAAAAGGCAGCGGCCAATTCCAACCTGAAGAATGTGGTCTTTGAGCTTGGAGGCAAATCCCCTACTGTGATATTCCCAGACGCGGATCTAGAGAAGGCCGCAAAGGAGACAGCATATAGTATCCAATGGAACAGCGGCCAAGTATGCATGGCGAACTCTCGCATCTATGTCCATGCTTCCATCGCCGACCATTTCATCTCCCTGTTCAAGGAGAGCTTTCAGTTCGTGTCGATGGGCGATCCCACAAAGCCCTGCGTAAACCACGGTCCGCAGGCCGATGAAACCCAGTTCAACATCGTGAAACGCTACATCGAACTGGGGAAGAAAGATGGTGAACTCATCCTTGGCGGAAACGAGGTTCAGGATCACAAAGGTTACTTTATCCCGCCGACAGTCTTCACAAATACGCCGGAGAGCTCTCAGATCATGAAAGACGAGGTCTTTGGCCCAGTGGCCAATATCAATGTGTTCGAAACGGAGGCCGAGGTTATTAAGATGGTCAACTCATCTGAGTTTGGCCTCTATGCTGCTGTCTACACGCGAGATGTGAACCGGGCCATGCGCTTTGCTACGTCTATGGAGGCTGGTACCGTGGGTATCAACTGCACGAGCCCAACTGGAGCGTTTGACATGCCCTTTGGAGGATATAAGGCAAGTGGAGTTGGAAGGGAGGGAATTCATCACAGCCTCGACCACTACCTTGAAACAAAAACCGTACATCTGAAGGTTGAGGGACTCTAGTTTCGATATAATATTCATAATTATTATGGCGGGTGTCGTTTACAGTAAAATTTTTATGTTGCCTCGTCAAAATATATTAGCTCCCTGTGCCAAAGGTATATAAATGCTCCCGAACGAACAACTTACCATTGAATATATTAGATCAAGTTGTTCAGCCCTCATACACTCAAAACTCCCACCTGTACAATCTAATAACTACTGAACGATATAAATACAAATAGTGACACTAAACTGATAAAGACAACTACTTGAAATGTACATAGAAAGGTTCCACCACCAAGCGTAATTCCTCAACCAGGAACCCTTAAAGCGGCACTCCCGCACCCAATCCGACCCAACCTTTTATCCATAACATACAAATGGAACCTCCTTCAACCCAACAAAAATACCCAATACAATCCCTCTCCCCCCAGCTCAAACTCAATAAATAGAGAAGTAAAATAACAAAATGCCCCGCACAGACGAAGCCGAACACTGGTTCAACGCCGTCTACTCCGCAGTCCAAGAAATCCCCCCAGGCAAAGTGACGTCCTATGGTCATATTGCTCTGCTACTTGGGTATCGTAGGTCTAACCTTTCTATATTGATCTAAAATGAACTCTTTCGTTATATATGAACGGGGTCTAGAGACAATACTAAAGATATATAGCACAACGACCCCGTCAGGTGGGAATTTGTTTGAAACATCTCCCGTCGAGTCCGGAGGAGTACTTTCATTCGGGGAATGTGCCGTGGCAGAGGGTGATTAATTCGAAGGGGATGATTTCGCATCGGTATCTAATCTCTTTTTTTTTTGTGTCTGGAGAACTCTCTTGGGTTTCATAAAATATATGTGTAGGGTTGATGGGTACTAATGTGAGTAGGGAACCTGGGAGTGCGGAACGACAGGCAGAGGCATTAAGAGAGGAGGGAGTGGAAGTTGAGACGGATGCTATGGGGGAGTTTTATGTGGATTTGGCGCGGTTTGGTTGGTTTCCTTCGGTGTTGCCCAGTGAGGAGGGAGAAAGTGAGCTGGAGGATCTAATAGATGGCTGAAGGAGGTGGTTATGAATGTACGCTTGGTTGATACTCCGTCTCAGATATATAAACGCCCATTTCAGAAGCATTGCAAACATTGGGTCGGGGTCGGATTATATCCGACCGCGACGTTGTATATCCTCCTTTTTTAAATGAAACTGCTGTCACACAATCATCTACCTGAACAGCCGAGGAAACGAATACAGGCCTGACGTCAAAAGGGTCTTTTATGTCTAACGCAAGTCCCCATTGACCAGCCGACCCGAATATGACAGTCGTAGAGGCAGACATGATATCAAGACTCTATGTAGGTGAAGAGAGATAAAGGAAAGATGGTAGTAGAGAAAGAAAGAACAGACAGAAAAGGGTAACGAAGAGCATGCGCGTCATGTCAAGGAGTCATCAAACATCCAGAGAAACGGCCGAACCAAGATAGATACATCCGCAGGGCAAATAGAGCAAGAACAGCCACCATTCGAAGAAAAAAAGTCATCACATTGTGGTCGTCAAGTCTACCGCCGCTTCACCTCGGATGCCCATCCTTCAATCCCTTCGCCTCGACTGCCCGGAAGAATGCCCAGCTCGACGGTATCCATCCCTGCCGTATCCTTCATCCACGCATGCGATGCCATACCACCGGCATTGGCGCGTCGTTCGGGCGGGATTTCCAACATGGGCAACAAGAACTCGCTGATTCGCATACTCTCTTCTGCCGAGAAATGGTACTTTTCCCGCAGGACGTCTGGTAGGGCCCAGTGACGGAGTCGATGGATGTTGCGCAATTCGCCTTTGCGGTTAAAGATCTCTTGTGACCACTTCCCAGAGAGGCAGAGCGATTTGGGGAAGGGGCCCAGCAGTTCAATGATCTGTGCAATGTGATCGTCGTCTTTGCCGTATTTCGTGCCCGATTGCGGATCGAAGAGGTAATCACCCGTGATGAGCTCAAAGACCTAGATAATTGTGAGCGGAGGACCTCCGGTCGGGGCGTAACCCAATCGCGCCCGGCGGAATTCCGTCGAACATACCATACACGCCATACTCCATACATCCGTACTTGCCCCCCATTTGGACCCCAGAATGACTTCGGGCGAGCGATATTGTCGTGTTTGGATGTCGTTGGTAAAGTGGTGGCCGACCCAGCAGGCATTCCCCAAATCAGCGATCTTGACCGAGATGATATCGCATTCCGGTTCGTCTTGCGCTTCTTTGGAGGATTTATTCAAGGAGATGCCAGATACTTCGCGTTCGAGGAGGTCACTAGCGACGGTTAGCTACAGTCGCGGTCCGCGACGGGGCATCACGCCTACGCAGTCTTTTCTCGTTGCTTTTGTTTCTCATCTTCCTCCTTAATGCCTAGCATTTCTTTCATGGACGCTTTCTCCGACGGGGCGGTTTCTGCGACAGGTCAGTGAGCGGTCGCAAAACGACCCTCGCGTGATCGATACGTACCGGACTCCTCGTTGATCATCTGACTCAGACTGCTCTGCGAGTGGTGCGAGCTGTGTTTGAAATCAAAGGTGGTGTTCAGCGGACTGGGCAACGGTTGACTCCCCGTGATTAGGGTCCGGCGCCGCCGGCGGCCATTGCGGTTATCCTCTTTGTGGTCCTTCTTCTGCTCCTCCTTCACGTATGTCTTCACAATCTGTTCAACATCGCCGATCTCGATCAATACGTTCTCCGGCTTCAGATCGGTGTGGATGATGCCGCATTCGCGGTGGAGATAGTCCAACCCTAGGAGGACCTGTTTCGTAATCTGTTTTACTAGCGGCATTGGGATGCCGCGGTGGTTCCATCGCTTAATCAAACCGAGTAGATTCTCACCCAATACCTCAAATACCATACATACGTGGACGCCGTTGGGACCTTTGTGCTCGAAGGAGTCGAGCAGACTGACGACATGCTTGCGACCCGGGTGCGACGGCTTGGCTTGTACAATGCGATTCAGGAGCTTGATCTCGTCGATGGCGGTTTCGGTGTAGTGAGCGGCGGAACGAACGACTTTGAGGGCGACGTGTTTCCCGGTGGTGGTATCGCGGGACAACCAGACAGTGGAGAAATGACCCCAGCCCAACTTGCGCACGACGACATAGCGACCGTTGTTATACGTTTCGCCGACGGTGACCGGGTGATAACCGCCCTTGCAGTAGTCTTCTGAATCTTCCTCCTCGGCGGTCGTCTCGATCTCATCAACGGAGGAGGTGGACGGGGATCGCGATTGCGGAACGGCGAGAGAGGGAGCCCTACCGAATGGAAATCGATCGATCAACAAGACGGAATCACACTAGAAAAATCGCAACAGGGAGGAAAAACAAAGCATACCCCTCTGTAGTAGAATCAGCGGCTGTTTCACTGGTGACGATAGGCTTCAAATCGGTTCCTTTTCTGCGCTTCTTACCGCCATTGCCATTGGCGGCCTGTCCGGCCACACCGGCCATCTGCTTTCCTTTATTCAGCACAGCCTTGAGATCAACCCCGTCCATAATTCCGATTGCGACAAAGGAGGGTAAATCAGTTCGAATGGATCGGGCGGTGGAGGGAAGAGAAGTTTTGACGCCGACGGGCGATGAGGCGAATGGGCGAAGAGAAAGTTGATCCGGTACAGTTGGAGGTGGCGGGCGCAAACCGTTCGAGACGATGTGGCGGGGGAGAAAGACGAATAAGTTGGGGGAGTGGAGGATGTCCCACGGGAGGTAGCCCCAAGTAATTCAAAAAAAAAGGGAAAGGAGAAATAGGTAAGGGGAGAGGGGAGAGAGAATAGAAAACTGAGAGGGAAAAGACGAAGGGAAAGAGAAGCGTGTTCGTTGAAGTTGTTGTTGTTGTTGTTCTGAGAGGGGCTCGAATCTTTTTCGGCGGTACGTTGACAATACCTGTGGTTAGTTTACCCTTTCCCAGGTCCTAACGTACAGTAAGTACAAAGATAGATCACAAATTCGACAATCTCAGAAAGATCGGTCTAGAAAGAAAGGGAAAATATTATTAATAATAATATAGAAAAAGAAGATAGGGAATATATGTTGATAAAGAAAATTTGAAGCAGTGTCAATGCGTGACAAGCATTCAGGACTTTCTATATCAAAGAATTTTTGTCCCAAAAGAAAAAAGGTTGGCCATCAAATGGAACCCAATCCTTTTATGACGCAAACGACCTGTTTGCGAGGATGCCCGAATTCCCCCGACCTGATACTAGTCGTCGTGGATGGAGAAAAAGTCGTATGAAAGGGAATAGTATACCTTCAGACAAATCCGATCGTGAAGAATTCAATCGAATTAATTTGTCAAGCGATCGTAAATCATCTTGTGTTGGGGAATGTGATGTCCGCAAACAGAAGTAACAGAAGTAGTAGTATAAGCATGGACTATACAGACAAGGGACCGGATCCCCGGTGGATACTCAGTATACCGACTGAAACATTAATATCCAGATGATGTCAAGATCATATAAGATCAGGTCCAGTCATCTGTCCACCCCCACAGATCCCCCATGGCCCATACTTCGTCTTCTCTGACTCCAAGGAACGTTGATATCGATTTCTTCGACCGTACTCGGAACTATGTCTCTGACGGTAGAACTCCCGATTTCAATATGTGTCCAGATGATTGACATAGTCTGAATGAGATATATCTTTCATAGCCTGTTACTTACTCACTGTTCATTCAGGGGTCTAGATTTACACACACGTCAGCCCTTCAATACAATCGCTTACTATCAGGGACCCCCAAGTGGTTTAGTCGCCCACTAAGTTGAGGGCCAGAGGGCACCAGTGACAGTGCCGCATTAGGCAGTCGGGAGCCACTCCGTCCGATCGGGAAATGGTCGGATTTATCATTTCCCGCCCATGGTCAGTCACAAGAATAGCGCACGTGATGAATAATGTATCTATCACGTGCGATTAATGCAGCTGGAGGATATTGTGGCCTGGGGCATCTCCGCGTCACGAGTACCGAGCACTTCTCCATTTCGGGCATCGAAAGGTGTGCGGTGATGCCACACTTGTCGCGTGGAATGCTCCAACATCCCAATCGGTTAAGATCGCCGCCGTTAGGCTAGTCATGGACCCAACAGTTACCGTCGTTGGTCTTGGAGAGCAGATACGAGCGACGGCGAGCTATCACGACGATAGCACGAACCAGTCGCTTTAGTTTGGAAGTTCTCTCGTCTCTCTGCTGTGTGGCTCTTCACTCCAGCTAGGATCAATACAAGGATATAATAATGCTGTACCACCAAGCTCATAGTCGGAAAACAGACGGAGATATCCCTGAATTTAAATGATCGCCGCGCCGTGGTATGCTGCCCAGGGATTGCGCATGCCAAGTGATAGTGTAACATATAGAGACAACCAGTCCCCAATTCTACCCCACAATTTGCTTCGAGGGTCTTTCCAAATGTGAGGGCGATCATCTCTTAAGAGAGATGGAATCCGAACCACAAGATATGGCGATGTCGGTAAATGTATTTCATAGTAGGTTCCTGTCGCACATCGGGCATCCCCTCCTGGCACCGTGTCTTGCGATAACTTCAGCTGCAGAACTAGTGCTCGACGAAATCCTGTTATTTGGTATTGGATTAGACGTTGGTATTCTTGCGCAATGGTCCACAGGAATAACGTTATATATGGTTTCGTGAAGGGGAGAAATTCCGTTTCGCATCCTGCCAGAGAATGTTTGTTAGAAATGCCACGTAAACCTACCATGTGGGAGATGTATATACGTTGACTCCCTGTGCAGTATCCAGTATTACTTGACGGCAGGTACTGGATAGGATTATTGTGTGTCAAGCTCAGGGCATCCGAAAATCCCGGTTCCCCAGAGCTAAGCTGTTGCCTTGCGGAGCACTATGAATGTGCCCTTGCAGTCAAGGTCTTCCAGAGATTGAACGGCCCAATTAGCAGAGGTACTGTTGAAAGGAACAGCTTCTAGCGCCCACATTCCCGCCGCTACAGCTCCCTGCGAAGGGATACACTCCGGTCTCTGATACAAACTACCCATCTCGTGACATCACAGTAGCCAAAGGCGTGATGATCGCCATCCTACTTGCTGGGATTCCTTAATGAACACTTTTCCATAAGGCTACAGAATCCGGGCCATCCCACTTCATCGGCCATAATATGTATATGACCCTTGCAGTATGATCGGCCGGTGTAAGCTTCACATACCGATTACCGATTATATCGACAGTTAATGCAAAATGCGCTAAAGACATGCAGACCGTGAATTGCTGCAACAAGAGTGGTAATGACGTGATGTCCTGGACAGAGGCCATACCTTGCGTCCATATCAGGTTATGTATCTGTCCACGCATATACATTCCAGTGGTTGTAAGGTAGGATCCACCCACTATAGGTAAAATAGCGGAGAATCCCACACAGTGTCCGTGTGTCGGTTTGCTTTAAATATCTCTACTGGCACTTATTTGAGCTATACTTGGAAATGGAGGAGGAGCAGGGGACTCTGTCACGGAATTTGAACCATCATGGAGTCCAGATCCTGGGAAAGCTTGTCAAACGAAAGTCAAGCCTCGTCAGGGCAAACGCTGTTAAGCGACGATCCTAAGCCTGGGACGTGGGCAGAGCCAAAGGAGGTGGAGCGCTCCGATCTGCGACTGGTCCGCGATGATATCTCTCTGGATATATTTCTAGTGGCTGTTGCAGAGCTGTCCGAGAGATTTACCTATCGGGCGGTGACAGCGCCAATACGTATGATAGATCCACCTACTTTCTATCTGGCCTACTGACGTGGATTCCAGAGAATTACATTCAGAATACACGGGACGATCCATTGCACCCGGGGGCCCTGGGAATGGTGCGCTTGACAGCTATGAAAACGAACTTTACGTTCGCTAACGACAGATTAGGGCCAGACAGTAGCGACCAGTATTAACTATGTTTTTGTGGGGTGGTGCTACCTATCTCCGGTTCTAATGGGTATCATAGCAGATAGCCTTCTGGGTCGCTACAAAACCATCGTTATGGGGACGGGGTATGTTAGTTCACGTACAGCGTAAGCCATATATTGACAGTCTTTGTAGGCTATCTGCATGCGGTGTATTGATCTTGTTTTCTACATCTCTTCCAGTGAGCCTGGAGCATGGAGCTGGTCTCCCGGGACTCATGGCCGCGTTGGTTTTGCTCGGACTGGGGTAAGCTTGATGGAGCTTCAGAATTGAAAATATAACTGAGTACTTATAGGACCGGTGCTATCAAGAGCAATGTCGCACCACTGATTGCGGAGCAGTATCACTCTATCGGGGCACGGGTGAAGAGCTTGCCAGATGGTGAACAGGTTCTGGTAGATCCAAACGTTACAATTCAGGCAATTTATGCCCGATATTACTGGTCAGTTGCCTTTCGCATTGTCTCCTTTTCGCCCACCCTGACAGTGATCTTAGGGTTATCAACTTGGGTGCACTATCGGTTATACCGGTCTCTGTAAGTCTCTTTCCCCCCACCCGCATTGGACTACCGTTGACACACTCCTAGTGGTTAGAGCTTAAAGTAGACTTCTGGGCCGCCTTTATGCTGCCGTTATGCTTTTGGGCCCTGGCAATCGTAGCGCTTCTTGCTGGTCGCACGCGTTATAGTAAGGATGTCTATGGATTACTCCCCTTCTATCGCTGACTGTGATAGTTGTGCAACCGCCGAACGGATCAGCTATTACTAAGGCAATGCGAGTCCTATGGATTGGCATCAAAAGCGGAGGCAGTCTCGAGGCAGCTAGGCCTTCATCTCTGGAAAAGACCGGTGTCTCCGTGCAATGGGATGATGTGTTTGTGGATGAACTTAAACGTGCCCTGGTGGCATGTCGTGTATTGTAAGTACTCCGGGATGAGAGGTATGACGCATGTGTTGCTCACAGGTGATTTAGTTTGATCTTGTATGTGCTTTAATATCTGACATACTGAACAACGAAGAGAGCTAACTTTAGCCAGCCCCTTATATTGGATTTGTAACGGGCAGGCAAGTTCGAATCTTGTCAGTCAAGGTGCCTCAATGGATACTCATGGCATACCGAATGATATGAGTATGTGTGACTGCTTGTATTGATGTATGGATGACAAACTGACTGATGAGCAGTGGGATGTCTTAATCCGATCACAATACTCATTGCAGTACCGTTGTTGTATGTTCGATATTTTATAACATTGTATGGATAATACTGACAAGGGTATCAGTGAGCGCTTTGTTTACCCAACGTTGCATCGCTTTCATATCAAGTTCAAACCCATCAGCCGGATCACGACAGGCTTTCTCTTGGCGTCCTGCGCGATGGCTTTAGCCGCCGGTCTCCAGGAACGTATGTAGACAGTTTGTTGTCTTGATTTGCCTTTTTTCCACTAACCGTAGGCAGTGATCTACGAGACCTCCCCATGCCAAAGAAACCCAACTACTGACAGTTGCAAAGGAGTACCTCCGGCTCGAAAGGTGGGCTTCTCCAATCTTAAGATACGAAATATGCCTCTAACAAGCTTAACCAGATCAGCCTACTCTTGCAGATACCCGTTTACTGTCTGATGGGTCTATCCGAGCTTTTGGCAATGCTATCCGGGATGGAGTATGCCTACACGAAAGCGCCAAAGTCCATGCGTAGCATCATCATGTCCCTTTTTCTTTTGGCCGGGGCTTTCGGTTCCTCCATTGGCGTTTCCCTTTCGCCGACATCTGTAGACCCCAAGGTTCTGATAGAATACGTATCACTCAGTGCCACTATGCTAGTGGCCGCTATCATCTTCTTTCTGTGCTTCCGAAAATACAATAGGATGGAGGAGAGTATGAACAAGCTGTTGGATGCAGATTGCCCGAGAAGGCGTTCATGGGACACAGATGACACACCCCGGCTGGAGAGGCAGTGATCTGTCATGTATATATTTCTTAGTGTAAGCTTCGATGTTTACGTCGTGCATTGTCTTCCTAGATACTTGTATGTCTCAATGTTTACGAATACAATCAGGATTGACTATCATGAAGGCTATCGACTACCAACTCTATAGTCTTGATACATGACCCCAACAATCTCTATACTGCACAGATGATAAGATAATCCAATTCTTCTTGTGTATTACATGAGAATTACTAATCTGTGGAATTCGGGTCTGGTTCCCGAGTCCGCACCCATGGATCGGCATCCCGAGTTCTTGATGGTGCAAAGCTAATGTTGCTGTTACGTTGTAGAGGGGGTTCGCCCGCCACGCCAATATTCTGCTTAAATAATGCTTTGTCAAGAGTGACTGTTTCATTTGCTTAGGATCCACCGACTTCCTGAAGATCTGTAGATATGCAAAATGCGAGACGCTGACGCTAGGTATACATAAGTTCCTATACTTTACACAATGACAAACAAATCACTCAGAATGGTCTCGACCAGTCTGGCTGCTACGTCATGAGACAACCTTATCTTTGCCACAGCGCAAACCAAGCTTTATTAAAGATTAAAATGGGCGTGTAGGGTTGCTTCGATGAACGATCTAACCGCTAAAATGGCGAACGGTGCGGCGCCGAATATTCCACTAGCTCTTGCTCCGGGGTCTAAGGGTCCCGAGCACCTCATTACTGATGGTTTTGACGCGGAGGCACAGGTAACAGGTCTGTTATAGGTTTTTCTTTTTCGTAGCCATACTTTCAGCCGCGAGTGGGTCTAACTTGTCGTCGTTTCCACAGACGATGGTCGCGTGGATATTGCAGTTAACGATGATGATCCGCAGGTAGCTAGCCTGTTGGATGCTCTCCAGCGACAGACCACTCGTCGCCCATCGCTGATACGACATGACGGTGCTCAATTTCCAGTTCGGCTAAACGTGGTCATTCATGTCGTGGGATCTCGTGGCGATGTGCAACCATTTATCGCCTTGGGCCGAGCAATGAAGAGACATGGACACCGCGTTAGACTGGCAACACATTTGGTGTTCCGAGATTTTGTGAAGGAGAATGGATTGGAATTCTTCAATATCGGGGGCGACCCGGCTGAACTCATGTCGTTCATGGTGAAGAATGACAAGCTCATCCCAAAGATGGAGACCTTGGTCCAAGGGGCGATCGGCAAACGCCGTAAAGATATTAGACTAATGCTCGGTGGGTGTTGGAGATCTTGTATTGAAGCTGGCGAAGGTATCGATTTGACCAGTGACGACCCAATAACTGCGGCGCCATTTGTGGCCGATGCTATCGTCGCGAACCCCCCCAGCTTCGCCCATGTCCACTGTGCAGAAAAGATGGGTGTTCCATTGCATTTGATGTTTACGTTGGTCTCCCACTGGATGGGTCTCTCAAATCTCAGCTGCTGATGGCCTTAGAATGCCATGGTCCCCTACTCAAGCGTTTGCGCATCCGTTAGCAAATGTCCGGGTTCGCGATACAAAACCGTCAGTAGCAAACTTCGCATCTTACGCCCTGATGGAGATGGTGATGTGGCAAGGTGTGGGCGACCTCATTAATGCGTTTCGTCGCTTCGAGCTGGGGTTGGAGCAGTTGGATGTGATGCGAGCGCCGAGTCTGATCCCTCGACTACGTGTTCCTTTCACCTATATGTGGTTCGTATGCTGTCCCTGTACATGAATACGTCCAACGAATGAGTGTAATAGGTCCCCGTCACTCTTGCCAAAGCCGGACGATTGGCAAGAGCATATCGACATAACGGGCTTCAACTTCCTGCCTGCCAACGCCGACTATGTCCCTCCCTCCGACTTGGTTGAGTTCTTGGACGGTGGCCCCCCACCGCTCTACATTGGCTTTGGCTCTATCGTGGTTGATGACCCCGATGCTCTCACGAAGACTATCCTAGATGCAGTTGAAATGACTGGCCAACGAGCATTAGTCTCAAAGGGATGGGGTGGTCTTGGAGCCGAAAAGATAAACCGCCCAGATGTCTTCTTCCTCGGAAACTGTCCGCACGATTGGCTTTTCAAACGGGTTTCCTGTGTAATCCACCACGGAGGCGCGGGGACCACGGCTGCAGGCCTCGCCCTAGGCCGGCCGACTACTGTTGTGCCCTTCTTCGGAGACCAGCCCTTCTGGGGTGCTCTCATCGCGTCTAACGGAGCAGGGCCTGCGCCAATCCCTTTCAAAAAGCTTACTGCCGATCGTTTGGCCGATGCGATCCACTTCTGTTTGAAGGCTTCTACTATAGACAAAGCACAGGAACTTAGCGGGAAAATGCGCTCGGAGGATGGCGCCCGCGATAGCCTACACAGCTTTCATAGCCAACTCGACCTTCGCCGCATCCAATGCACGTTGTGTCCTGATCGTCCGGCTGTCTGGCGTGTTAGACGAACGAAGATATTACTTAGTACATTCGCGGCTACTGTTCTGGTCCAGGAGAAGAAGCTCAACCCTAAAGATGTCAAAATGTAGGTATACCAAGTTTCTCCTTGTCAGGAACTTCTCCGTGTGCTCACATGCTTTCAAACAGGTACCGTGCAAAGCGCTACGACATCGATCACAGCTGCGCAGGGGCCGACACCTTCACTGGTGCCATAAGCAATTTCCTTACTGGGCTCGTTGACGTGCCGGTCAACGCAGTCCACAATATATCGCGTCCAGCTGCCGATCGCTTTGCGGAAAACTATAACCTACCATCCTGTGAGGCGCGCAAAGCGATGCTAACGCCGGCGGCCTCCGTCGCAACCCCGAGTGCAACCTCGCAAAAGGATCGTGTACAAACTAATGACGACGCGAAATCGATGTCTAGTTTGTCATCCTCGTCGACCTCCATGTCACAGGAAGGTACGCCGTCAATGGTTGTCAAGCGGAATCCCTTGCAAAACATAGCGGTGAACAGCAGTTATCTTGGTCGCAGGGTGCTTAACTGGGTGGTTGAAGTGCCCATGGGGGTCACGCTGTTGTTCTCTCAGTTCACACATAATGCCCCACGGTGCTACAATGATCAAACTGTGCGAGAGTTACCTGAGGTGACAGGGGTTCGGTCTGGATTTGTTGCGGCCGGAAAGGTAAATGCTTTCGCGAGACTTTTGTAAGCAATTGAATAAGGCTCGTCATACTAATTGGCCTAGGAATTCGGATACAGTTGGTACGATGGGATCACTGGCGTAGTAACGCAACCCAGCCGCGGCTGGAAAGATGGTGGATTTGGTGGAATGACAAAAGGCGTGGGTAAAGGTGTGGGGGGCTTAATCCTCAAACCTCAAGCCGGTAAGACTGGCAATTGAGTCTTTGACCTTACTTAATCTGATATTAATTGGCTTTATAGGTATCTGGGGCTTGATCGGCTATCCTCTAAATGGTGTACATCGAGCCATTGAACACTCATATGGGGCGGACAGAAAGGGTTACATTGTCCGATCGCGCATCAGGCAGGGAGTTGCAGAATGTAAAGCTGCGTCGCAGGAGGAGAGGATGGCTGTGCTGGAGAAATGGAGTACTTACGAGAAAGGAGTTCGAGTAAGGCATGAGAAGAAGGCTCGCACATGATTCTATTTCGTTCCCCATGTATATCTATTTCAAGAACACCTAACGAGTATCTACTTCTATGTACGTGTACAAAATATCATTCACCAAATTGAAGTAATAATATATGCTGCTAATATGGTATTCCAAATCTATTGAGGAAAGCCCAGGGAAAGTTCTGCCCTATATCCAGACTTACTTTGAAAAAAGCCCGTCCCTGCTGACCCTTCCTCCACAGAGCTACGTTTGATCCTAATCATGAACCAGCATTCCTCCTGCAATCCGTCATGATGTTGACAGCGAGGTTGCTACAATCTGATCGTGCAGAGCTCGGTTGGATCTGAGCTATATGGATATATGTCATTTCGGGACTCAGCATGTCAATTCAACTGTCGGAGGCCGATGTCTTTAGTATTGCCGGATAGTCTTCGCTCCGAGATTAGCATCACTCTTCCTGCACTGCGCCATATACAACTAGTCTATTGGGTACAATCACAGTAAAATCGAATTTTTGTCGAGGCCATCGCAACTCTATTAGGTTGACAGAAAAGGTAGGATCATCAACGGCAGAGAGATTCGGCAGTGGTAATGTCCGAGTTAGCATTGAGAAAAAGATTCAGGCTAATCGGAGAAATGCAGGATGATAAATGTGGATCCCAACCCCAAAGATTCTCCGCGTCCCCCGCATTTCCATCTGGGATACTTAATGCTTGTTTGTTTGCTCAAGCTTAAAGGCCTACAGAACGATAATGACTCCGTGAATGCCCAGCAGGTAATCTCACCATGGTCAGGCTCAGCCTTTTCATAACGACTATCTTGTCGTCTACGGCGCTGGCGTCGGAACTCCTCCTCGACACCACGAGTGGTCCAGTAGAAGGTTTCTATAACAGCTCGTCTGTGCGTGCGTTTCTAGGTATACCATACGCTGAGCCAGCAACGGGGTCACGTCGATTCAAGCCACCCGTGCCCAAATCGCGATCCAGCCAGACCGTTCAGGCCAGCTCGTTTCCTGCAACATGCCCAGGGCAGTATACCTTCTCCAATGAGTCCATCTGGAGCGTCCTACCCTACATGCCATGGAACACGGATAGCATGTCAGAAGACTGTCTTGCGATAAATGTATGGGCGCCCAAATCTAACAAAGAAAATGGTAAATTCGCGGTGATGATGTACATCTACGGTGGGGGGTTCACCCAGGGCGGATCGGCCATCCCCTTCTACGATGGGACGAACTTGGTCGAGGAGCACCAGGATATAATTGTCGTTACCTTTAAGTGAGTGCTATCTGATTAAGAAGGTTTCCGACCTGACCATTGTCTGTTAGCTATCGTGTCTCTATATTTGGGTACCCTAACGCTCCGGGTCTTGAACCTGGACAACAAAACGTTGGACTTCTCGATCAGGTACGCTGCTAGACATACCTGGCTCTGCTGTAGAGGGAGAACTAATGAAATCAGAGACTCGCCGTTGAATGGGTTCACCGCAATATCGGCCAATTCGGTGGAGATCCCTCAAGAATTATGCTGTTTGGCCAGAGTGCTGGGGCAGCGTCCACGGATCTGTTCACCTATGCGGTTGGTATACAGATCCGATATGGTAAAGAACAGGAATTAACGCCACGTTGATTTCTAGTACCCAAACAACCCCATCGTACACGGCGTTATCATGCAATCGGGCGCCGCATCGATAATTATGAATGAAGACAAAACCCATCAGAACTGGAAGAATCTGACCCAAGCACTCGGATGCAGTACTCTGCAATGCATGCAGGGCAAGCCGTGGGCAGATATACTCGAGGAAGTGTCTTCTGGGTCTTACAGCTTTAGCCCGGTACCAGACAACGTTACAGCATTCGCCGATTATGAAGCTCGTGCGAGACAAGGAGGGCTCGCTCGTTTGGTAAGCTTTCTTTCGGTCTATGGATGTCAGGTAGCTGATTCTTCCAGCCAACATTAATTGGCGGTGCCAACCGTGAAGCATCAGCGTACATGAATCTTAGCTCCAAGTCCATCAATGAGACGCTGGTATATACAGCTACTCAGAACACATTTAATTGCCCAATTGTTGAGACGGTGGGTAACCGCCTCGAGCAAGATATCCCAACCTGGCGATACCTGTACCACGGCAATTGGTCCAGCTTGAGTCCGACTCCTTGGCTTGGAGCGTACCATTCTAGTGATGTACCCATTATCTTTGGGACATACAACAATACACCAGTTCAACCGCCCTCCAGCCCAGCAGAGGTCACAGCGAGCAAATATATTCAAGGTATCTATTTACCACGGTCTACTGAATTCCCGAATCACTGCTAACTGGGTCAGGCGCATGGGTGGCATTTGCCAAAGATCCCTGGAACGGGTTGAATAACTATGGATGGCCCCAGTTTACCTCACAGAGTATGTTTGTTCGCGGACCCGTGCTAATTCACGGCTAATAGATATTTTCAGACCGGTCCCTAGTCAATTTAGCTCTGGACAACCGCGCTACGGCAACGATAGGCTCTGCGGAAAAGTGGGATTCATATTGTCTTGGGGGCGAGCATAACTCCTAGATAGATCTGTATATCTGTGTCGGAATTGGGTATAAAGCTGGGCGAGAGATGGTGGGGAACCAAAGCTGTGTTAGGATGGCATGGACAACATTCAATCGGTAGCTTGATTAGATATCTACCATTATTCGCATCACATATAGGCGACTATCACGGCTGGCCTTAAGCCAACGGCCCCCACGGCGATGGATGCTTACTGATATTTGAGCCAATAGTTCGTGGATCTAATACGAAGATTTAAACCCCATCGGGAAAATGGCAGGCTTAGTTTGAATGAAGCCTAATCTGCATTTTTGTGAAGATAACGCTGGCGCTCTCCACCCACCTGGCAACAGTCTGAAGCACTTGGCGCAATGGTGGAAGGACAGAGTAAACGAAGATTTGTTAACAGATCCAAGACAGGATGCCGCACATGCCGGTGAGTTACCGCGAGGATCGTTCGGATTTCAGCCGATCGGCTAATGATCGGAGATAAAGAGCCCGTCGTGTCAAATGTGATGAGACCCCGGGATCATGTCGCAACTGTATCTCAACGGGCCGAAAGTGCGAATACGACATCCAGCGCCTGCCACGTCGGCTACCTGGGAATCGACCGACCGCCGAATCTATAGTGCTATCTACAAACATTGCCGGTGGCTTTCGGTGGAAAATCACGTCCGACGAGCGTCGGTGTTTTTCATTCTTCCAACACCAGTCCCTTCCCACTATAATCGGATATTTTGACTCCCCCCTATGGCAGAAGTTGGTTCTTCAGATGAGTCAGGTCGACCAGGCAGTCTACCATGCAGTCGTGGCATTTGCCGCAATCCATGCAGACTACGAGGCCCGTGGAAACCCTGTAACAATATATGATTTGGACAACTCGTGGCAGCGGTTTGCGATCGATCAATGCGGGAGAGCATACGCGCTATTGACTGCGCGCTCTGCGTCGCAGGATCCCAATTTACAGGAGGTCACACTCGTGTGTTGCATGTTGTTTGTACTCTCGGAGCTCATGCGCGGTTACTATGACCTTGCTTTCACCCATCTGCGAAATGGCTTGCAAATCCTGAAGGATGTGGGCCGTCGCCAATTGCCTGATCCAAATCCTACACGCGCCTCAACTATAGAACAAAGTCTCGTTGATACCTTTTCTCACCTGGATGTCCAGTCAGCGTATTTTGGTGTGGGCGAACTAGTACTCCCTGTGCAGTCAGACGCGTGTCTTTTGAAGTGGAATAAGGGCAACGTGACAGCATTTCATCATATTTGTGAAGCCCGAAGGGTATTAGACTCTCTTATGGGAGCGGTGTTCCAGTTTCATACCTCCGTCTCACCCCTGTCGCTGACAGAGATCAGCGTCAGGTATGGATACCTTTCGAAACGGCAATTCGATCTCGGTTCTCAGCTTCGGCAGTTTGCCCAAGCATTTGATCCTCTTTATAGGTATCTATCCGCGCGGTGTGATATCAAAGTGAAACGGGGCGCGGACATAATCTATTTGCACCAGCTGTCCCTGTCCATGATTCTCGAAACATGTCTTCTTTGTCGCACGAAGGAACTCCTTGATTATTATACGCCAACATTTAGGACGATCGTCGCACTAGCCGAGGTGATTACAGCCAGCTTCACGGAACTTCCCAGCATTCTGCTCCATATGGGGGTTATCGCTCCGTTGTTCTTCGTTTCAACCGAGTGTAGTGAACCTGAGGTTCGATGGCGAGCGATTCGAGCGCTCCAATCTTGGCCGCATCGCGAAGGGACTTGGGATTCCAATCTGGTCGCAAGAATAGCCATTGAGACGATGAGAATTGAGGAACAGACTGTCAAAGACAACGGTCAAGCTTGTCGTATCAGCCACGCTTTTACGACAGTATCGCCAGAAGACCAATCCTCGGCTCAGATGTTGTACACTCTTGATGACGACGACGAGGTCCAATCACGTACATTTTCGCTGGAATAACGGAAAATAAAAATAGAACCCAATGAATCTGTCAAAAATCGGTCTGCCTAACATTCTACCTTTCTTCTATTTATTTGTCCTGCCTTGCGATGGGGTGCTCCGCCACAATCTGACTCGTAGGATCCAAGTAAAATTTAGTCCCAACCCAAGCATTTCTAATTTAGCCAAGAATAAGCGGACTAGCCAATCAAGCCAAATACAAGACTGTACCGTGTGTTGGCAAAGTTGGTGCATGTCGTCTCCACTTTAAACGAACTGGCCAGTGAGACTGCACGAGTCGCAATGAATGTTGAGATCTTTGCTTGCAAGGCATCCGTTCAGCAACTCTACATGGAAATCATCCATAGAAGACCAATGAATTTATATATCATTATAAAAGCATGCTCGCGCCACGAAGCAATGTCGATTCTCAACCAGAAGCCATTTGTGCTTGAGAATATCCACCATGGGATTGCTATACTCAGCCCGAGCTCATCAGCTCTTGGAAATAGTTTCATTCCTCCTGTTCACTCTTGTTTATTCTGGAGATTCCTGTCCCCTCCAAACCCCCTTATACCCTCCACCGCGGGATCTCCTCTCCAGCCAAGATGTCAAGACGGCTTCCAAAAACCTCACTGAGGCGATCGAAGAAGCCCTAACTACTGGTAGAACCGATCTCGGCTCATTACCTATCAACACAACAACATTCGCTGTTAAAGTATTCTCCTCTCACACAGAGGACTCTATATACGAATACCTCTACACTTCGCCAACGTACAGTCCAAAGTCCGGTGTAGGGGCAGAGAACACGACACTTGATAGCGTTTATCGGGTTGCAAGCATTTCGAAACTGTTCACCGTCTTGACCCTGCTGGCACATGACGGATATACCCATTGGAACCATCCGATTACGGACTTTATCCCCGAGCTAGACACAATAGCTCGTAACCAGAGCTCCCGTATTCAATGGCGGGAGATTACCATTGGCGATTTGGCCGCGCAGTTGAGCGGCGTGCCCCATGATTGTATGTCGTTCCTCCTTTTAGATCTTGCATACGGAAAGACTAAACATTGTACATATAGATGGGTTTGAGGATATGGCCGGTGAATTTAGCAACGAGCAAATGATGGCCATGGGTCTTCCTGCAGTTCCTGCGAAGGATATCCCGACATGCAATCAGGGCGAAGGTGTAAATGCGGGAAATCCGTGCGATAGAAAAGGTGTGGTAAACTGATAAACTTCAATTATGGTCAAATTGCTAATGGGTTACTAAAGCATTCCTCCGCGGTATCGTCAGTGAAGATCCGACGTTTGCTCCAGGTACCACGCCCGCGTACTCCAATGCAGCTTACCAGCTGTTGCGCTATGCGATGGAGAACATCACTGGAATCGACTTCCTGTCCATGTTCGAGAACAGCATAGCCCAGCCCCTCAACCTGAACTCGACAAGCTTGTTCGTCCCGAAGAATGCCAACGTTGGTATCATTCCGGTTAATGAGACGGCCAGCGTGTGGGACTTTGATTTGGGCGACGGCGACGCGTAAGCTACCCTACGTTCACTCAAGTGATCAAAGCTGACAATATCCTAGTTTTGGAGGTGCATACTCGAGTGCCAATGATCTTGCCGTTATTGGCCGTTCCATTCTTCAATCTCTTTCCGGTACCTCAGCATTGAATCTCTCGTCAACCTTGACCCGTCACTGGCTCAAACCATTGAGCCATACCACCAGTTTCAAGACCTCCGTCGGGGCTCCCTGGGAAATATTCCGCTACGAGCTACCGAACCGACCCAACCATGCCGTCGATGTTTACAGCAAATCCGGGAACTTGGGAGCATACGCCGATATCGTTGCGCTCATTCCGGAGTACGAAATTGGTTTCTCAATCACAGCTGCTGATCTGCCGACGAACCCTCTACCGAATGTATGGGGACTAGCAGACCTAATTATTGACCGGCTCTCTCCTGCATTCGACAAGGCCGCCCAACAAGAAGCCAACAGCACTTATGCGGCTACATACAAGGCCCAGGGAGCTAATTCTACGACTGATTCCTATGTCAGAATTACAACAGATCACCAGAAGCCCGGTCTTCAGGTGACTAAATGGGTGAGCAACGGCGTCGACTTTCTTCAGTCTCTCGCAAGTCTTTCGGGGCTCGAAGAACTAGCTGTCACACTATATCCCACGGGTATAGAGCAGACCGTGCATGGAGAATCGGCAAAGCGTGTATTTTTCCGCGCCGTATTCGACTATGACGCGACTGGGCAGTCAAAGGGCGTTATCTCTAATTGTCAGTCTTGGCTCAATGTCGATGGCTCTCGAGTGGGTAACATTGGTGTTGATGAATGGGTGTTTGCGATTGAGAAAGGCCGGGCAAGCAGTGCTGAGCCCCGACTAATGAGGAAGCGGCTGCGTCGGGTATAGAAGGGTCAGTTGGTTTTAGCTCTAAGATTTTGTGCACCATGTTCTAAGATTAGTTAAACACCAAATAGTTAGAAATAATTAACATGCTTGGTAGTATATTGCTCCGGGAAAAGTATAGTACCGATATATGCTGCTGAACCTCATCTCCATAGCTTCTATAGGTATCCTTCGCAAATAATATTGCAGCTTAGATTGTCAGGACACTGAGGGAATTGTGATATTCATACCAGACTTGGGCTCGGAAACGATATACTGGCGGAATCCACTGTCCCGAAGCGGTGAACTTACTTGACATCACGGGGAGATTTAGGACCAGGTAATCTACAACAGCGGTTCCGATCCGGTGGGGGAGGGGGGTTTCTGATAACTCTCTGAAGCGTCGCATCATTAGCTAATCGCACATCCAGTAAACGGAAAAAAGCAACCGTGAGGCGATCCGGAAGTGGCCATCCGAGACACAATATCCATCCGCTCGGTGTTAAGAGGGAGAATTATCCTCAAGGAGTTAAGCTTTACCCCCGAGCCCCGACTCCGTGGATCAGATAACGGAATCATGCCGACCCCGGCTGCCGTCGACCAATGATCGTCCATGGCAGAGTCTTTTTCCGCTTTGCCTCCCTTATCTGATCGAGTACTTAAGAAGAGGCGCGTCCAGGGACCCCAGTCAACAGTTCATCTTTCATTTTCAAATTCATTATAGACGCAAAATGGCTAGTGCTTTAAGAAATATTATTGTTGTTGGAGGGTCCTATGTGGGAAAGGTTAGTTATGACTGAGTATCTATCTTTTCTCTCTTTGATTCCTAATGCTAAGGGTGAATTTAGACCACGGCCCAAGAGCTCGCACAAGTGGTGCCAAATACACACAGGGTAGGTTCCTACGTTGGGATATTGTTGAAAGTTTTAAATATCTGACTTTAAAACTTGCAGGTCCTGTTGATTGAGCCGCACAGTCATTTCCATCATCTCTTCACCTTTGTAAGTGTGCATGGTCTCTCTCTGCACTGATTCCAGCTTACCAAAGTTCTTATTATTCAGCCTCGCTTCGCAATTGTTCCCGGACAAGAACACAAAGCCTTCATTCCATACACGGGACTCTTCCCGTCCACTACAAGCCCAGTCCGACATGCCGTAGTGCAAGCCAGGGCTCTATCGGTGCAGTCGCAGCACGTCAAGCTGGACCGTGAATGGCAAGGTTCTCGTCAAATTCCCTTCGACTATCTGGTTGTCGCGACCGGTACCCGTCTCGTGCAGCCGGCAGGTATGAGGCATGACGACAAGCTCTCCTCTGTCGCATATCTCCAAAACCACCAAAACGACGTCAAAAAGGCCAAGTCCATTCTCATCGCAGGCGGCGGTGCGGTCGGCGTCCAGATGGCCACGGACCTGAAGGAATTCTACCCCGATAAGGAAATCACGGTAGTACAGTCTCGTCCTCAGTTAATGTCGGGGTTTCATGAAGGGCTGCATGATCTTGTTAAGGAACGTTTTGATGAGCTTGGCATCAAGTGAGTATAACATGATTCGGGATTACCGGCGTGTGCATGTGCTGATGAAAAATACTTCACAGATTCGTCACTGGAGCTCGCGTAAAGATCCCTGCCGAGGGATACCCCACTCAGGGAGGTCCATTCAATGTCGAGCTCACCAACGGCACGCAATTGTCGACAGAATTTGTGATCTGTGCTACCGGCCAAACACCAAACAATGGTCTCATCAGTGAATTAACCCCCTCAACATCCGAGTCTTTAATCAACCCCGATAACGGCTTTATCCGGATCCGGCCTACGATGCAATTCCTTGACCCTAAGTACTCGAACCTCTTCGCAGTCGGCGACATCGCAGATACAGGACTCCGTAAGGCTGCCAGACCCGGCTCAGCGCAGGCCGCTGTTGTCGCAAAGAACATCCAGGCTATGATCGAAGGAAAGAATCCCGAGGACGTTTTCCCACGGATGCCGGCAGCGATCCATCTGACTCTAGGAATGGTAAGTTGATTTGATATCAATTCCATTATATTGCTGGACTAGTGCTGACCACATCCAGAAATATAATGTGATCTTCAGGAACCCTAATGTCGCCGAAGGGCAGACCGAGCCCACTATCATGAAGAAGCTTGAGTAAGTCTCCCTATTTCCACCAGATATTCATCTGCTAACAGCACATAAAGTGGACAAGAGGATATGAATGTCGAGGCATTCTGGCAGAGGCTAGGTGTCTCGATTGAGAGCTCGAATCAGTATCATCTGTAGAGTTTCCATTTGGGTTTTGGTTTGTGTCATGGTTTTAATGTTGTTATAATGTATTTATACCCAATAAAGACCACATGCTGTTTTACAAAATATTTCATTTCAGTTTTCCAGGTACCAGAAGCTATTTATATGGCTGCTGTATATTTTTCGAGAGAGAGAATAAATAGGTGAAGCTAAGCGTTGGCCCTAAGCAGCCACTAAAATGGTGTCAGCGTGCAGCAGAGTGACGAATCCACCACAAAACCTCCGACAACACGAAGTCCTTCAGACCGCCTCTTTCGAGATGGATGATTCAACAAGATACTTTTCTGTTTATCCTTGTCTTATATCTTAAATCCGTATTTATATTTTGCAGAATATAGTACCCCCCACGCTACGCCGACCGGTCTGCATAATTACTACTAGTGGAAATGGCCGAATCGCCAATGAGACCTATTATTGTCGGCGGCTCCGTAACGGGGCTGACACTGGCGCATTGTCTTGATCGAGCAGGAATAGATTATATTGTGCTGGAGAAACATAAGGAAATTCACCCACAGGTCGGCGCATCAGTAGTCATCTTTCCCAATGGAGGCCGAATCTTAGAGCAGTTGGGTCTGTACCAGAGGGTAGAAGATTTGAGTCAAAAGCTCCGGCGTATTCATACATGCTTTCGTGACGGCTTTCACTATGACAGTAATGTCCCTGAGCTAGTGAAGGAGTTGTATGTTCACCTTCACCCTCATCGATTGGGTTTAGGTACTGAATGAAGCATCTATAGGTTCGGCATGGACTTTGCAATCTTGGAACGAAGACAACTCCTTGAAGTCTTGTACACAGGACTACAGGACAAGTCTAAAGTGCATACCGATAAGCAGGTGACCAGCATTCTTCCGACTGAATCTGGTGTATCGGTGACAACGGCAGACGGGGCCAGATACGATGGTGATCTCGTTGTGGGAGCAGATGGAGTCCATAGCTTCGTCCGGTCGGAGATGTGGCGTATCGCTGATCTCGAGCAGCCAGGGCTTATATCAAAGAAGGAAAAGTCGAGTAAGTAACATCGCAAATTATGGGAACTCCGCTGATTAGTATAGACATGACGGTGGAATTTGCCTGTGTTTTTGGTATCTCAAATACAGTGGAAGGGGTCAAGTCTTGGGATCATGTCATTAGATACAACCCCGGTGTGACACTCTTCGTCTTCCCTGGAACAGATAATGGCATTTTCTGGCTCCTGTTTCGAAAGCTTGACAAAAGGTATACCTATCCCAACAGGCCTCGGTTCACGAAAGAGGACGCGATTTCAACGTGTGAATCATTAGCCGATCTTGCTGTGTGGGAGAACATCCATTTCAGTGATATCTGGACGCAACGACGTACCTTCCACATGACAGCGTTGGAAGAAGGCCTGCTAAGGACGTGGCACTATGGCCGTATAGTCTGCATTGGAGACAGTGTGAGCAAGGTAACAGACTCTTCCAGAGATTGCGGATATCATTCATAGCAGGCCCCTAACCTTGAATCTAGATGACCCCAAATCAAGGGCAAGGAGCTAATACGGCCATTGAGGCTGCGGCTGGCTTGGCGAATGTGTTGTGTTCGTTAAGCCAAGAGTCCGAGGGACAGCGCCTAACAGAGGGTGAAATTCAGCAAAAGCTTGATCACTTCAACGCGACACAGTTCCAGCGTCTGTTAGCAATCCACCAAAGCTCCGAGTTTCTTACTCGGCTCCAAGCATGTGATGGGCTGGCCAAATCGGTATTTGCCCGATACGTGGCGCCATATTGTGGAGGGACTATTGAGGGAATTTCTGGACTGGCGACGACCGGCACGGTCCTAGACTTTGTCCCCCTGACGGTGCGCTCTGGAAGGGATTGGTTTCCCATATCTTCTTGGGCGCCATGGCTATCGAAGATGGCGTATCTTGGAACCCAAACATTCGTTGGCCTAGCGATTGCATCACTTCCGGCAGGCTTTGCGTGGACATTGTACAAAATAGGTATTCCTAGAGTGCTGCATAGATGAACGTCTGCCTAGGGCTTGCGTTATACATCTTTGCGCCTTCCACCTCAACGCTTATTGGGCTAAGTACGGACGCGCGCCGTATTGATCGACAGTGATAACATCTCCAACTCCGATTAGTAACCTGCCCAAGTCTGTATATGCCGCTCTCATCCAGTTTATACTTTTTCATTTGCCCCAGGCTTCGATTGCTTTAAGCCTTCGCGCATGAGCTAGCGTAGTCGGGCGCTTGGCATGGATACTATCACGTCTATTGCGACGCGTTACAGGTCGATCATTGTGCTGCCCATCAAGTAATCGCTAGATGCGCCTTTAGCTCAGCCTACTCTGGATATTCCAGGAATGCTGCTACCTGGGAATCCATAATCTGTAATTTCCCCGTAGAAGGGAGCCACTTGTGAGGTATCTACTGTTCTAGACCCAAGCTACGATATCCGAAAGCGTACAGGTCTATCCAATTAATTCTTGCGTGCTTTTTCAAGCGACGTCTTGGTCGAAAGGGGCTCTTGCTCACGCTACCCCTTAATTGATACACTAAACAATCTCCTAAGGTTCGAAAGGCTAATTGATAGTAGAAATTGTAAAACTATTCAGAATAATGCTTGCTCACAGCATTCAGTAGCTCAGCCGCAATGTGCCCGAGGAACCCATTTTCCGAGCCGAGACCGTGTTGGTCTGAATGTGACATCAACTGATGAATGTGGCAGTGCAGAATGGTATGTTGATAAACGTTCAATGAGGGCTACATGCAGTCCATTTCCTCGCGTATCTCCTTTTGCTGCTTAATTTGGTCAATCAGTTGAGCTTTAATTCTTGGGCAATGGCTTCGTACCTTGTAGGGCTAACGTTGACATCAATCCCAAATTCTAGCCAATGAGCTAGCTCACAACTAGCGTCACTCCTATTGCCTCAATTTTGGAAGAATGTTGTTAATTCTGCAGTGGGCCGCATTCAGCTGAATAGTGGGTAACTTGTAGCAAGTGGGTTCCATTGGTGAAATAGTCTGCGCAGTGGACGAGTCAATTAACGGACAAGCACCAACGGTACTCCGTACCTTAGACCAAACCGCCTGGAGAATAGCATATCCGCTTTGCGAGCTTTATCTGATCCAAAAATACCATATTCCCCGCAGGCTCTGGGCAGGTTCCTCGTCATCACCCGCGAGATCGACAAGTGGCAGAGGCTAAGCTCACGCCGTGTGGGCCGCAGTCCACCAGTGAGGCTTTAGCCCTCCACTGGAGGATCGGCGGGCGCCGCGTGTGCACTCAAAACCGCTCAACACCAATAAAAATGCCTGTTTTATGGGAGCCTATTGTTAATACGGTTTGTTATGGCCTGGGATGGCGGCTAACTATGGAGATACTCTATTGCCGATCATTTACTAGGGCTGGCATTGGAGTATGTGTCGGAGTTGATGAATCCCGAAGCAGAACCTCACCTGTCCGAAGTTATGCCACGGACCGAGGGCCATCAATTCAGCGGCATCATTTACCAATTTTTGAGGCACACCTTACCGCGCTTTACGTTAGGGTTGACTTTGTTTCGCATGACTTACAGCCCGCGAAGGCGATTGTCTAACTGGTTAGCCAGCCGTAATGAGTAGTATCATTGAATGCAAGCGCCGGAATGTCGACCAAGGGATCCACATATTCGTAAGACGTCAACTGTCTTTCGCTTTGTCAACCAGAGTCAAAGTCTGGTACAGTGCCGGGGCATCGGTCCCCACAACTCTATCGACATACCTTCTGATGCTTACGACTCATCCAGAACTACGCCACGTCAAGCCGGTCGTCATTCCCGATTCCAATGGCGCCAGGACTGAAACGTTCTCAGGTGGTAGACGTTTAGCAGTGGATCGAATGGTATAAAGGGAACGGTACGACCTGCCTCGTCAATGCATCATCAGCTCGAATCCAAATACACAATCAACACCCTCACTAGCTTTCCACTCACTCAATAATCACCCATTCGTTTCAGTTTCCTTTCAATCAACTATCAAAATGAAGATCTCCGCCATTCTCTCTACCTTGATGGTCGCCGGCCTCGTTGCCGCCGCTCCTCCTGCTGAGCGTATGTCGACTGCCCTTTATACGGAAGGGAAATATGGCTAACAGATATCGATAGGTCCTACCGACCTCCAGAAGCCTCCGGTTCCTCTTCCTACTGCTGAATCTCCTGTCCCGCCCAAGTCGGACAACGACAACAGCAAGCGTGGAGATGTTCCCCCGCCTAAGAAGCCTACCGATCTGCCAGCTCCTCCCAAGGATCCCAAGGAGAATGACAATGGCAAGCGCGGTGACGTGCCACCTCCACTTCCTACCGACAAGCCTCTTCCTCCTAAGGAGAAGGGAAACGATAACGACAAGCGTGGCGATGTCCCTCCTCCCCCTCCCACCGATAAGCCCCTTCCTCCTAAGGAAGATGACAAGGGCAAGCGTGACGAGGTTCCCCCTCCTCCTAAGCCCACTGAGGACAAGCCCGCTCCCCCGAAGGAGAATGACAATGACAAGCGCGGTGATGTGCCGCCTCCTCCCCCGACGGACAAGCCTCTCCCTCCCAAGGAGAAGGACAATGACAACGACAAGCGTGGAGACGTTCCCCCTCCCCCTCCCACTGACAAGCCCCTCCCGCCCAAGGAGAAGGAGAACGACAACGACAAGCGTGGAGACATCCCTCCCCCTCCTAAGCCCACCGAGGACAAGCCCGCTCCCCCTAAGGAGAACGACAACGGAAAGCGTGGCGATGTCCCCCCTCCTCCTCCTACGGACAAGCCTCAGCCTCCCAAGCCTGCTCAGCAGTAAGCGGCGGGTCATGAGATATGTCTTGCCTGATCGGTTGTCATGCCAAGCACGATAGGGGATGATGAACTTATAGAATCGGAGTGGTGGCTGACTTTCAATACTACAATATCAGTACCTTTTCTTTCTTTTTTTGTCCAGCTGGATTTATTATGTAGCTAGCTAATCGAATGCATTCATTTTTTTTGTTTGATTTATGTTTCTAGTGGTTGTAGTGTAGCTTGTCTGTGTTCTGAATTCTGATCCGGTTATATGTCTCATTCTTTATAACGAAAGGGCCAGTATAACTGCTTTTCCTGGAGTAGAGACCATGTTTAATTGAACTACTCATGAGATAGTAGTATTATTGTCGATCCTTGCTCAATATGGAGCATTCTGTCAAGAATATGTGCCGGTTGTGCGATTAGATGAAGTTGTATGCGATGAAGCCCTCATCATAAAAATATATACATGGATGCTTGTCGCGAAATTATTATCAATGTTTCATAGGGGGATAACATGACTGGGCTTTGTTTAAAACTTAGAATAAAGGTGCAGTTGGCTGATACAGCATTTTGCGTTATAGTGTATGCAGTTGGTGAGATATATATCTCCACTGAATGTATATTTTGCTCGTTAGCTGCTAGTACTTTCTCGAAAAACGGATTTCTCCTACTTCTTCTTCTTCTTCTTCTTCTTTTTGAGTGGTCACCGCATTTATATTACCGCTGCTGAAAGGAGAGAGAAAAGGATGGTAAGATGAAATGGTATTCATATTCGCTTCTAGACGTTCACGCAATAACCAGCAGTGAATTATTGAATGGTAAAACCACCATCCACCCTGATGTCGGCGCCATTAATCATACCACTGGAATCCTGTTTAGCTGGTTAGTGCGAATAAATGAGCATGAAAAAAAAAACATGCTGGAATGCTTGCCTGGCAGAGGAAAAGGACCGCATCCGCGACCTCTTCTGGTAATGCGAATTTCCCGATCGGGATCGTCTTCAGGAAGGCCTCGCGTACATCGTCTTGTCCCCACGCTTTCTTTCCGAGCTCGGTCCACGCCACCGTTGGTGATACAGAATTCGACGTGATACCACGACTACCCCACTCAGAAGCCATACTCCGTGTCAATCCTAAGAGTGCAGCTTTAGAAGCGCAGTAAGCGCTATGGCGAGGTAGTGCTACATGAGCTGCCTGCGATGCAATATTGACGATTCTTCCGGATGGCGGAGGATTAGTTGAAGATCCCGCAAACTTCGAGGCGGCGAAGTAGAGTCGAGCAAATGCCTGAGAGCATAACATCGGTCCGAAGACATTGGTGGTGAGATGTTTCATGATATCCTCGGGTGGCGTCGACTCCATATCACTCAGGTTGACATAACCGGCTGTATTGATCAGGATGCTTGGGAAGCTCCGATCTGCCAAAGAGGACGATGATGGCGCGACCATTTCCTTGTCCAGTGATTTGAATGCCGACTGAACAGATTCCGACGACGTGATGTCACATTCATAGGCTCGGATTTCATCTGAGCCGGAAACCCGACCATAAGTAGACTCCAGCAGCTGGTTTCGACGCGCAGCCTCAAAGGGAGCGTATAGGATAGCCAATCGGGCTCCCTGCTGTCTGAGCTTCTTGCCTATGCTTGACCCAAGCCCACCTATACCACAGTTGAGATTAACATGGTTCTCATCCTCGGCTTCATCAGCGACCGCTCAACCCTACCTAAGCCTCCAGGAAGGATTGCTAACCTGCGAGCAAACGCCATTATCACGATAAATTGACTTCAATGCTACCTGTGTGTGGTGTGAAACCTGAAGTTGTGCCTGGAATATAGTCGTGAGTCCTTACCCCTCCCTTCGAGGACGTTTCGTGGACTTTGCCTTTTCAAGTAAAGTGATAGATCGGCGATGATGTCATTTCATCTCAGTTGTTATTCTGGGCATATAAATTGTCATGTCGATTATACTAGATAAATAGGAATTGCAATACTTAGTGCATAACTGCAGAGTAAAATCATCCGCACTGTCATCCAAGAAGGGCTCTCAACCTGGTAATTGCGTCTGTTGGTGCCTTATCTTCTGGGCTTTATTGTGAGCCTGTGAATTCAGGTCTCGTTAACTAGAAGCGGTTAGCGTGTCCCTCCATTCCACGCAATCGATTACTCATGATAAGTGCTTTGGCCTGGAGAATGTGGCCGACACAGCATTATGTACAGCACATGCAGGGCTGAACTGCCCTGGACGAAGCATTGTATGCCTACACGATGCTAATGTGCTTATTACATTGAAAGAGGAACGGATCTTTGTGAATTAAACCCATACATACAATTTCGGCGATTGGAAACCTGGTGCGTTTCTGGAGAACTACCTTAAATCCGAGTTGTGTCTACTCGTCATCCTCAGGAGTGATAATGATAAAGTTCGAGCCTTTTTCCTCTCCAGTCCCAAAATAAGTCTCGTTCCATCGACGTTGGAACTCCTGTTTCCAGGCCAGTGCTTGCTCCGGGTCATATGCCTGAGCGATCGCGTCGTAACGGTTCTGCTTGGCCTGAAATTCATTGTAAGCTTGCATGAATCCCGGTGCCTAGAAGGCTACTTGTTAGCTATCTGTTAAGCCATAAGAGTACCCATGTACTCACGTTCATTGCAGCCCATTGTTCAAAGTTTTGGTCGCCAATGAGCCCCATTTCCTTGTCTTCCTCGTATCTCCTCTTGGAGTGCTCCTTCTCGGTGCGTGCCATTTTAGCAGCAGCTAACCATCGTTCTTTGGCAAGGTAGAACTGAGCTTCAGTGGACATTGTGATAGAGAGGACGTAGAGAGATGGGAGTTATATACTCTTCAAGGGGTTCAAGAGTAGACAGCGAAAAGAATATTTGATAGATGATCCGTTTATATCAAAACATTTTTCTGGCTCTCTTCTAGGATAGGAGTATATTTATAGAGAAATCGAGGACTCCTAGGCGAAGACACGAGGGAGGAGCAATGGACATGCAAGCTGAGGGGATCAATGCAATCAAGATCGGAATGCATTCATTTGGCAAGCTCTGTGGAGCAGTCTAGCTCACCTGCCTGCTTAACATGGGAAATAAGGTGCTGATCAGGCTGGTCTATTGCTCCTCGCTACATCATGTCATTTAGTGAAATAAGAGAGCTTGTTTTGCCCCATGGGCAATGGTGGGTGTTCAGCCAGCCACCTTATATGGACAGGACCAATCATAAAAGACAGAAACTAGATCCGCTTTTTCATATCTTATGTTGGCTTAGTCTGGCCTCGCTTCACACTGCTATTTGTCCGATTCATAGTGCTATGATCAATGCATGCCCACGGGATTGAATGGGTGGACCTTGCCCTGGAGGTAGTAACATAAACTCGGCACTTGTCGAACTGTATCTTATCACAGGTGGTGACATGACTATTATCTGCCATTATTGTTGTCGTTTTGTAAGGTGCAATTTCCCCGAGCGCTTTTAAAAAGAGCCCAAAATACTCCAGATGAAGTTCACTTGTCGTTGTATTCCATAAATACTCATTAAAATGGCAAGACTAGACATCAGGTTGGAGATGTCGTGTCCCAGTTTGTCTTCTAAACTAATACTATTGCAGTGTCTTCATATCCAAGATGATCAAGATTGAAGTCGGCCCGAGCCGTATGGTGGCATACCTCCACTCTGAATTAAAAAATTCGCCGCGTTTCTTGAGGCTAATAAGCAGAATATAGATAATATGAATACCGATTCACCGAAGAAATTAACATAGATGAATAAGCCCATTGGAGATATCTTTGCCTATATCTTTGAGTATCTCTACACGGGGGACAACTTACTCTATGTATCATAAGAGGAATTAATGATACAATTGAATTGGCGGAGCTAGATTCAGAGTCGTATAAACTAACTCAAAATTCGCTCTCAATTGAGAATGCCAGAATCAATATTTTACTGCTGGGTGACGAGTTCGGGGAACAGGCTGGATAGCGCGAGTGATATCAAATATAATAACATCGGCTTTTGACTGCTGAATAAGCTAGACCCCATAGCACTGTTGTCCGAGAACAGTCATTGTTCCTGTTCACTAAGCACGAGCTAGGCAGCCTGAAATGCAGAACTATTGCCAGAGATGTCAACTGACTTGTTCATCACGGAAGAAGAAGGTCGTAGTGAACTGCGGAACTGCTTTCAAAAGACCGTCCTCTAAAACAGGAGGAAACCCATACTGTTCTTTCCTTGATGTAGGTAAATGATCCATGGAGAATGTCACTGCCAAGTTGCGCAACCATCTGCCGCTAGTGGAAACAAAACATGTCCTCAAGCCGTTGAGTCATTTTTCAGCTCCACCCTGCATACTTCCTGTGGACTGGCCGGGCTCAAGTGGGCTTTGGCGAGGTCTAAATGGCTGATTAGTTGGTTATATAGAGTTACTTTAGCATTTATATTAACGAGCTACTATCTAGGTATTCCCTGTTTGGGATTCTATTTCCTTAGTGAAATGAAAATAAATTATCTAAAGCCGTATCTTCACATGTAGGTCATCACGGCGTCTTACCGACCATCGCTAGCCATATCGACGCATCCTCTTGTATAGTCAAAAGGGGCCTATTATCAGAATCAAGATATCCTCCATCTGGGGTCGGAATGACCCCTCGGCGCGGTTTTTTAATAAGCCCAACTGAGAATACACGCCACGTGTCCCACAGAAGAACCCCAAGTCGTCGAAATGGCCGTATGTCTAGCATCGCGGCTGAACTTGGAATGCTCCGCAGAAGCATTTTGCTGTACGCGGAGAACCTTCCCGTCTGCGTTGACGAATTGTCACACCTATCCGCCCCCCGATTCCAGATACTTATAACGGGGGTACTTTCCGGTACTGGTTGAGGGCTCCAGATGAGGTAATTCTCAAAGCCGAACTCAAAGGATGTGAATAAAGGTATGGGTGCCTCCTCCGGGAAATCCCAGAAGGCTTTTGAGGGCTCCTGCTGTTCAGAGTCCCCGTAGGAGGGATGTAGTCCCAAGTCTGAGAGAACTGCCGCCACCGTCCAGATATATTCATTTCTGGGTGTGTCCCTTTGGTTCCGGACAGCACACGCATATATCCCTTGTACCGAATCTGCAGGCAGTGCCTTCGCAGCCTCACGGAGGATAGAATAGTAGACCAGATGCCACAGAGCCCAGTATACCCGGTATTCCTCAATCCATGAAAAAGGCTCGCTCGCTTTCTGTGCTCGGGCGGCACCACACAGGGAGCCAGCGGCAGTGGCCCCGACCGCAGAGATAAAATTTTGCTGCATGGTAAAAAGGCATACACATGCTAAGCGCTGAACCTGCGCAGCAATCTGAACTATTCGATCTAGTTCGGCAAAGCTCATCTGCCGAGGGAGAACACTGGATGTACTCTCACACATTACCGCGATATAGTTGTCGACACTGGAGCGATGTACTGTGGGAACCAGGGCCGTGTATCGGAGTAGCTTTCGAATTTCAGGCTTCGTAGTCATGGAGTTTGATACTATGAGATCCTCCGTGATTCTGTACGGCTGAGCCTCAAAGACAGCACGAACCCATGGTGAAACTACTAGCAGACTTTGTATACCAACAAAATCAGCAACATATTGAATAATTTGTATAATAATCTCAGGAGGGAGAATTTTAAAGGAATCCATTATTATTCCAAATGCAGTAGTCAAGGAGCTGTAACAGAAGAAAAATAAATGGTTGAAAGGGGGGAAGCGTTTAAATTAGTTGCCAGTGCTTCCTTCCATCCATGTCTGCCAAGCAAGAAACGAGAAAGAGCCCACTTAATTTCACTTAGACTGAAACCCTGCACTCCATCCTGGAATTCCAAATCTGAAAACCTTTCTTCACCCCTGGCTCAGGACTAGAGAATAAAATCGCCTTGAATATGAAAAGCTTTAGCAAATCTAGCTTGCCCCCTTTGTTTACTTCCTTCCCCTCCGCTTTTTCTTCTGCACAGGGCTGATTTCGAATAGGAAATGGACCCAGTCCTCTAAGTGGTTGGTCTGTGTATTTGTGTTGCCAGTAGTCTTGAATAGCGTCACCTTGCTGGGGACCTTAACTGCCAATTCTTGCTTGTGGCCCATGAGGAAACGGGCTACACTGGGCACTATTGGGAGTTCCCAAAATCGCCTTACCATCATCAGTGGACATGTTATAGGCTTTACTCGGCTATTCTCCCACTATGCTCGTGTCCCTAGGCTCATCTTTCTCTCTGGGTGGAAGAGGTTTTCTACTAGCTACCTCTAGAGCAACATCCAAAGAGGGCCCATTAATGACATGGTGGCGGACAAAATATTTGATAATTTTTTTTCATTCTGCCTCCGACTGACCTGCTACTTTGTTTCTAGAATAAAAAGTAAAACGTTAGATAGGCTAGAAATAGTTGGACCGGAATTTTCCGTCCTCTCCTCAGCGATCATGTGGGCTGGACCTATGTTGTCTGCTGCGGAGATGTAGCCCGCCTTGGTTCTTTTAGTGACCTTTTAGAAGCCAAATGTAGCCTGAAAGAAAGCCAGTAAGCCGCGCTATAATCTCCTGCCTCGGAGATCTCTTAGCGACTTACTTGATAGTATGAGTTACCAACTTTATATTCCCTATCCTGCACATAGATCAACCCCTTCAGACCTCGATCTCCTAATGGGTAGACCTTTCGCCTCCATTGTCACTGGAATTATTGATCCTGTCTCGGTAGGGCTGCCGCTGCTCACTCCGTAAGGTCTTGGAGACCAATTATTGTTGAGCGTTTCAAAATCTGTGAGCTCGGAAGGTAAATCGTTTGGTTCTATCTTCTCTAACTGGCACATATATCCTCTGCCTTATCGGCTGCCTCAGCGCTGTTCTTAGGAGGGGCACGCTTTGATAGGAGATGAAGCTCGGTACCAAGGTCCAGCCGGGGCTGAATGGTCGCATCATCGGGCACTGAGCGCTTAGCATGGGTGGTAAGGTGGAGACTATCAGACTGAGTGCCATGGTAGATGCACAGGAGTGCAACAAATGCAAAAAGGAAAAAGGAAAATGGAAAAGGGAAAATGGGCAAGCACCGAGTGGCTGGGGTTCTCGGAGCCATTTTGTTGATGCCCTGGATCTAGG